TCTCTCTATAGAGAAAGGCCCGTGGTGCTTCCAAGCAAAAATAGATAAAGCTTTTTAAGCCAGGCCAATGCATCAGCTTTGCTGTTTGTTGGCCTTCTGTGACTATGCATGGTCAAGGCAAGTCAGGTATTTATCATTTCGGGCTAGAATAAATACACTGCGGGGGGTATAGTTTGCACTCAGGTATAGAGCTTCAGAGCAAGCGAACAATAACAGGGATCATAAAAGGCATCCCAAACCAAACCAACCAAATGCCTGTTTGACCAATCTTGTCTAAAGTATCTTAGCTTTGATTTCTTTCTCAGCCAGTGTCAAAAGAGAGACTCTAAAATTTTTACTATGTGTCTGTGTCCAATGCTACACCATTTATTTTTTTCTAGAAATGGTCTTAAGTGAATTCTTTTTTTTTTTTTTAAGATTTTATTTATTTATTTGACAGGCAGAGATCACAAGTAGGCAGAGAGGCAGGCAGAGAGAGAGGAGGAAGCAGGCTCCCCGCTAAGCAGAGAGCCCAATGCAGGGCTCAATCCCAGGACCCTGGGATCATGACCTGAGCCGAAGGCAGAGGCTTTAACCCACTGAGCCACCCAGGTGCCCCTTTTAAGTGAATTCTGATAGAATCATCCCCTCCCCACCCCCAGAAAACCCCTTTACCCCAATTCTAAGTTGTCAGGGCAGGATAAAAAGTAAAGCGAAAGGCCCTCCAGTCCAGAAACTCTACAGATATCAGCTGGGTAAATATCCGGGAAGAAAACGAATGGTTCTCCGTTGATCTCGTCTCCAGGCTGCTCAGGAAGAAGACCTGCAAGTATGTTGGACTTGGGGAAGCAGCGTGTGGCCGCTCCCGTTTGTCGCTGTATTGTCTGTGGCAGCTTTCATGCTACAGCAGAGCTGAGTAGTTGTGACAGAGACTGCACGTCCTGCAAGGCCCGAACGATTTACTGTCTGGCCCTTTACAGTAGCAGTGTGCCAACCCCTGCATGAGATCGTCATCCCACTCACTTTATAGATCAGCAATCTAAGGCCTGGTGGGAAAGCAGAGTGACTTCCTAGCACTTTGTATAGTGTTCCTTCCGTGATAGTTACTCTTGTCTGTGCTGGTGCTTCTCATTGAAACGCTTACAGATAAAGGTTTGTTGAATGGCACTGACTTGCCCAGAGCAACAGGGGCAGTTTGCAGCAGAGCCTGGGTTAAAATGCAGAAATACAGATTCACGCGCCCGTGGTGAGAACCACCAAGAGCTATGGAACGGACTGAGTTAATGATCCTCTCTGAGCCTCAGTTTCCTCATCTGCAAAATGGAGGCTGCCATCTGTCCTTGCAGGGCTTTCGTGAGAAATTGTTGAGATCATGTACATACGGAATAGGCCCTCCATATAAGCAAGGAGTCCCTCCCCACTCTTTTTTCTCTCTACCCTGGAACCCCTGAATTGTTAAGTTTTCCTGAGGAAACTGAAATACATACTTAGCACCTCCTGCTAGAGCCGAGAGCCTGGGCTCGCCTCTTTGGGGGAAAAAAAAGATTGTTGACCCATGCACTGGCAACGATGAGTCTGATGATGTAGCCACCCTCTCCGCACCTCGCCCCAGGCTGGCAAGAGAGGAAGGGAGAGGCCCAGATGTCTTTGCTGTTCCTGTTTCTCTCCAAAGGGAGCTGGATCACTCTGCCCTCCATTTCTCTTCCTGCTGCTTAGACTTCGCGACCACCTGTGGCTCTGACCTTGCCTGCCCAGCCTCCCTCCTTGGCTCCTTACTCCTCTGTCTGGTTGTGCCCCACTTCTCTCCGACTTCTTCAGTTTGGAGCATGGCTGATGGAATAAGCCACTTCCCTGGTCCCCTGCTTTCCTGGGGTGATGCTCAGAGAAGGGAACCATTAGTCAGGGAGAGGTGTGAGTCAATAGGTCAACAGGAGTGAGACAGTAAGGCATGCTTATTTTCATGTTGAAGTGAAACAGTTTACAGGGGTAGGGACACCCTCTTGCATAAACCGCAAAACGAATGCCAACACAGTTTACTAGATCAATGATTGGATTTCCAGAAAATTGTTTCATGAATTCAAAACTGAATGGCTTGCTCTTAGTCTAGCAGTGAAGTTTAGGATAATCTATCTCCCTCTGACCGGATCATAGGTTTCGGCCACCCAAACACGGACATAAAGATAGAAGTAAAGACAGTTCCCTCTCTCTCTCTCTCTCTCTCTCTCTCTCTCTTGCTCTTTTTCTCTCTCCCTCTCTCCCTCTCTCCTTCTTTTTGGCTTTTAGACACCTAAGGTGAAATCCAAATCCACATGTTTTAAAAACCATTTCAAAATAGCCATAGTCGTGCTCACTTCGGCAGCACATATACAAAATAGCCATAGTCCAGGATGCCTGGGTGGCTCAGTCAGTCATCTGCCTTCAGATCAGGGTCCTGGGATGGAGCCCCGCATCGGGCTCCCTGCTCAGCAAGGAGTCTGCTTCTCCCTTTCTCTCTGCCACCTCCTTGTGCTCTCTCTCTCTCTCTCTCACTCTATATCAAATGAATAAAATAGTCATAGTTCTTGTTATTTGGACTAACTTTTAGTGAGGAGTTGTTAATGCTGCAAAGTACTAACTATGGGTTTTTAATTTAATTTTATTTTTTTAAAGTTTTATTTATGGGGCACCTGGGTGGCTTGGTGGGTTAAAGCCTCTGCCTTCGGCTCGGGTCGTGATCCCGGGTTCCTGGGATGGAGCCCCGAGTCGGGCTCTCTGCTTCAGAGACAGTGGGCACGTGTACAAGCAGGGGCAGCAGCAGGCAGAGAAAGAAGCTGAGTGGGAGTCCCACGTTGGGCCCTGGGATCATGACCTGAGCTGAAGGCAGATGCTTAACCAACTGAGCCACCCAGGGGTTCCTCAAAGATTTTATTCTTTTTTTTTTTTTTATTCTTAAATAATCTCTACACCCAGCATGGGGCTCAAACTGACAATCCCAAGACCAAGAGTTACATGTTCCACTGACTGAGCCAGCCAGGTGCCCCTAGATTTTTTATTTTAAATAAATACAGATTGACTTTCAAGTATAACCAGTAATTCAACCTGTTGTTGTTGTTTTTAATGCTGTTAATTAAGATTCATTCTGGATTTGTCTCAGCAAATAAGAACAGAGTTGTGATTGGCACCACTCTCACTGGTTGGCAAAGAGCTGCTAGTAACGCCCTAGAAGTCTCTTAAGTAGGTTACAAATTCTCCTTTGAAATCATGACTATGCTTCGCAAGATCTGCTTTGATGGTCTAGCCCTCGCAAAATGGAAAATTCAGAATTTGTAGAGCTTAAATAAAAACAGGACTACTGATAAGGACTGGGAAGCCATTCAGAGGCATTTTGAAAATAGCCTGATGTATACCAAGGCATTTGATGCTTTTCTCAGGGGAGAGTGAAAGGCTTCCTGGCCACCCTCAGCAAGGCATGCCCTGAGGACTGCAGTAGGAGGGAGGCCCCTGTTTCTTCATATTAAATGATGTAATGCTCTGAGCCTCCCTTTCTTTTTTAAGCTTCTGGCTTCATGGAGCAGTAGGCTGAGAGGCAATAGCACTGAATAGGGAGTTCGGATACTGGGTTCCCATTCTGATTCTGATACCTGCTGGCTGTATAACCTTGAGTAGGACATTTCTTTTTGGGGGGTCATCTGCAAATACGGCAGCTGGAGCTCAGTTGACCAGACCAGAAAAATAACCACTATGCAGGGCCAGCCAGAATTAAACTCACTTGGACAATGATCATTAGACAGGACCTTTTTGGTAAGTAGTTGGACGCTGTTACAATTTCTGCCAGAGAAGGGAAGGGAAGGGAAGGGCTGGTCCAAGGTCACACAGGTGGTTAGAGGCAGAATCAGATTAGAATCCAGATTTCCTGACTCCTACTTCTGTGCTCTGGCCAGAATACTCCATCATCTCAAATATCCTAAAGGAAGTACATTTCATCTCTGTTGCATCATGTGTCTCCCAGACATGCTACTGAATTTGGTCTCCGTCCTGCCCACTCATCAAAACTGCTCTGGATTAAAGAGCTAAGTCCTTGCACTCTTGCACGCAAAATTCTGCTTGCACCAGTGGCTTTTCTGAAACCTGAAAGAGGCAGGCTGAGAGCCAACCTTTGCCTAAACCCACCCTTTAGGTACAGGAAAGAACCAGGGTCTGTGTTCCCTAAGGCACCTCACTTTGGAGTCAAGGAACAAAACTTTGAGATGAATTTTCAGAAATCACGTCCCCACCTTAATCTCATCTTCCAGGTTATTGAACCACACACTGAACGTAGAAGGAAGGTCCCTCGCAAAGGCAAAGAAATTCTTAAGAAAGAATCTTGGAGCCAAGAGAAAGACTTGGGGTTGGAGCTCTGGTATCTGGCCTCCACTTGATAAGAGAGAGGGCCCTGCACCCAATGCTGGCTTGTCAGTGGATGAGCGGAGCTCTCATCTTAACCAATATATCAAAAACAAAACAAAAACAAAACCAAAAAACCTCCCCCTTGTCAGACCCTATCCAAGCCACTAGCTCCAAACCCAGAATGTGAACAAACAGGATTAAACGAAAGTGAAGGTGCTTGACAAACCATAAACAGCACGCACATGGAAGAGATTATCATTTTTCCCTGCCTAATATCTCCTTGGATATTCTCCAAAGCCCAGCTCAAATGTCATTTCCAAAGACCCAGTCAGATCAACCCAAGTTCACATCTTGGTTCCACTGCTTATTTGCTCTGTGACCTTGAAGAGTAGTTTAACTTCATTAGGCCTCTGTTTCTTCCCCTGCCAATGGTGGATCGTAATAATAACCATTGGGTGATTGGGAGCTGAGCCAAGGTCACTCTTGCCAACTGCCTGGCAAAGAATAGGACTTGAAGTGTCTATTGACTAGCAAAGGGAACCAAAGCACCCATCCCTTGAGGTCTGACCCAGCAATTTCCACTCCTTAGTCATTGGCTTCTCCTCATCTTTTTTGTCCCAAAGGGGCTACAGAAACTTGAGCCAGCCTGTCCTTACCTTGCTGAGGTCCCCTAGGGCCATGACCTTGGCCACTGGCCTCCTGCTGAGCTGCTCCTTCACCCAGACCTCGACCTCCTTATTCCACTTCATGGTGAACACATAGAAAGCATAGCCCAGCAGCAGCAGCAGGCTTTCCCACCAGGCAATGAGGCTGTCCAGGAAGAAGATAATGAGCATTATCAGGTCAAGGATGTAGAAAGAGACATCACGGAATAAGGGCCACCATGTAAGATTGAGGATCTCCCGGGAGAAGAGGGCACAGGTGCCAATGACAAAGAGGATGTTGAACACAGCAGAGCCCACGATGGTACCAATGCCCACGTTGCTGTGGGAGATGAAGACGCCAATGAGGGAGGTGAAGAGCTCAGGGGCAGAGCCTCCAGCAGCCATGAAGGTGGCACCCGCCACATCATCAGAGATCTGTAGTTTATCTGTGATGACACCCAGGGCTGGGACAAAGTACTCGTCGCACACGATGGCCAAGGCCACAAACACGTACATCATGCCAAAGATGTGCAGGACCACCCAGCCCTGTTGCCGCTGCTCTATGCTGAACAAGTCTGGGGGGTACTCTCCCTTGGCGTGAAGGTCTGGCTGGCCAGGAGGCAGTGCTGAGGGACTGGAACTGGGCACCTCTGGGATCATAGCTGTTGTCAGGCTGGGGGGGATGGCAGGGGGCGCCGCTGGGGCTGGCTCCACAACCACACAGTGATGGACCTGGATGGTTGGATTTGCCCTGGCCTCAGAGGATGCTGAGGGCCTTGGTGCCGTGGAAGTTCTCTTTGCCAGCTCCCAGAAGGTGGTGGAGGAAATTCCAGTGGTCGATGCACTGGTTCTAGACAAGGTATTACTAACACTCCAGGTAGTGGTAGAGGCTTTGGTTTCTGTTGGGCTACTGCCTGTTGTGGTGCGTATTGTCACTTGCCCCTCAGAGATGGCTGTGGTGTCCTCCAGGACCGTTTCCAGAGGAGCTGTCAGCTTGTTCTTTCTCACTAACCCCCGGGGCTTGGTTGATCTATTATTGTCCACTCTTCTGGTGGTAGTCAGGGTGTTCTCTTCTATCATACTCCTTGGAGAAGTCAAGATGTTTGTTTCTATGTCATTTACCAGGAAAGTAGGGGTTGTATGAATTATTCCCTTGAGAGTAGTTGGTGTGGTTTCCTCCACCATTCTCTTAGTAGGGTTGGTCTTCAATATTTTGGTGGTTGTCATAGTTTCACTGTCTTTCACTGTTGTTCTGGGGGTGATCCCATGGCTCTTTGTCATTGTCATGAGTGTGAATGGGGCATAATTGCCTACTATTCTACCAGATGGAGATGGGGTGTATTTCTTCACCTTTCTCCCAGCCTGAGTTGGGTGGTAGCTCTGCATTTCTCTGCTGGGTGGTGTTGCTGAGGTATGATTCTTTACTGTTGGTCTGCTTGAAGTTGGGGTGTAGTGATTGAGTACTCTGCTGGGTGTGGTTGTGGGGTCTTCCTCCATTCTTTCTGTGTCTGCTGCTGTTAGGTTATAGTTATTCTTGGGTGTTGTTGGAGTGATGTTGGCTGTCCTTCTGGGTGGATTGGGGGTACTCTCCATTGTTATGCCAGGTGTTGCTTCACCCCTGCCAACTGTAGCTTGGGGCACCAGTGTGTCACCCGCCATTTCAGAGCTAGCTCTTAGAGGGTCACTGCTCACCATCATCATATCATTGTTAGAGAGGTCACGGCTGGCCAGTTTTACAGGGTTTTGGGAAGACACTGCTGCCCACAATGAGGGGAGGCCCCGGGGGCTCCTCAGGTGCTGGTAGGTGGAACCGATGATCAACGTTCCCAACAGGAAGAGGAGGCGACTCCAATGAAGCCGTTTTGGCCAGAGTAACCGCCTCTCCCGTGTTCCCATTCTGATCAATTTCCCCATGATGGCCAGTTATGCCTGGTTACAGAAGACCTCTCATTCTGTCCGTGAAAAGATGGGGTCTGTTCTGGCGTTTAGGTTGGTGATCAGTGAAGATTTCTCCATGAAGCCCAGCCAGGGGGTATCCACAAACCTAGAGGGTTAAAAAAAAAAAAAAAAGTGGTTATTTGCCCCTAAGAGGAAATCTGGGATCTATCAAACCCCTAGAAAAGAGTGATGACAATTCATGTAGGAGCCTTTGTGCTAGGACGCAGTTGTTTCTGCTGGAACAAAACTACCCCTACTGCCTGTCCCAGAGAAAAAAGCATTAGTGGTCCTCTGTGTTGTGTAGGCATGCCCACAGCCCAGGTTCTTGAGCTGGGTCTACCTAACCCTCTTTGGGATCCCTACAAGAGGTCTACCGGCACCCCTCAGGTCCAAGCCTGAGTTGCTGGGAGCTCAGTCATCCATAGTTCATGGCCCAGGCCACAGATCTCACCTTGTCTGTGGCAGGAGGAAGATACGGAGACATGATTTTAAGCTTTAGACAAAAACAGGCAGCAGTGGAAGGCAATGTTGGGAACTTTAAGGCTCTGCTTTTTTGTGTTTTGTTGTTTTTTTTTATGTTTTGGACCCATTTAAATCAATTCCACGGTATCACCCATAGAGGGCAAAGCTAATGTGATGATGCTTCCCAGACAGTGTGGTGTGGTGGGAAGAACATGGAGAATGGAGTCAAAGGCCTGGATTTCCAGCCCTACTGCTTTCCAGCTATGCCACTCTGGACAGGCTGAACCTCACTGCCTCATCAGTGAAATAGGCATGATAATTGATGTGCATGATAATAGATGTGTCAGGGAAACTGACATCAGGAGTCCAAGGAAGACTTGCTTTTCAGTATACCCTGATGTTCAGTGTAACTGTTTAACATTTTTACCCTGTGCCATCTCATGATACTTTAAATTTAATTTAATAGAAATAACAATAGTAACAATAATACCTGTCACAGGAATGTTAAGAGAGTAAAAACACATAAGGTCTATAAAAAGCATTGTACAGGGGTGCCTGGGTGGCTCAGTGGGTTGAACCTCTGCCTTCGGTTTGGGTCATGGTCTCAGGGTCCTGGGATTGAGCCCTGCGTCGGGCTCTCTGCTCAGTGGGGAGCCTGCTTCTTCCTCTCTCTCTGCCTGTCTCTCTGCCTCCTTGTGAGCTCTCTCCCTCTGTCAAATAAATAAATAAATAAAATCTTTGAAAAAGCATTTGTACAGAATTAAGTGCTACATAAGGGTTAATTTTATATAAAATTTTAATTTTGTAGTTTTATATAAAGGTTTAATTCTATATTCTTCAGGAGGGGAAGAAGAACATGAAGGGCTCTGAAAAAATCCTCAGTTTATAAAGTAAGTAAATATTTATTAAATCTCTAGCTAGTGTCTATAGATTATTATAAAACATTAACTAGAAGTGGTTGGTTTTGCATTTAAAGGTTTTGCATTAAAAGTGAGATGAGTAACTCAGAGAGTCTTAGGTCACTTAAGGTAGGAGGAATTACAGACACAGGTTAGCGCAACTCCCCATTTGAGACATGCAGAAGCTGAGATCCAGAGAGGAGCTGGGACTTGCTCAACATGACACAGCTCGTGAGTGGCGGTGCAGGTGAGCCTTCTAATGCCCCAATCTTTCCAGCAGGCCACACAAATTAGAGACACAAATGCATTTGTCTTTTAAAGGAAAAAAGGAACAAGCAAAAGGAGAAGTACAGAATAAGTACATTTCCTTCTCTGTCCTTGATCCTATAACCGTCTTCCCACCATTTCCCTGCAGCTGCCGTCCCTTGCCATGAATTCAACTCTGTAGCAAGCCTGCTTGACTCTCCTAAAGAAACTCTGGAGAAGGTCTTTCTTCCTGGTGTGCCAGTGTTGTCTAACAGAGCTGAGCCGACACCCCAGCTGACCCCTCCTTTCTAATCACATCATTTACCTTCAAACTTGGACATCTGAGTATCTTCTTAGTTCTGGAAATTTGTCAGAATCCAGGGTCTCAAAGAGTGAGTCTGAAGCTGGACAGCAGAAAACACCCCATTCTTCTGTCCCCAGCTCCCCTACGGAATTCTAATTCAAGGCAGGGTCGGGTGTGAAGGGCATCTCAGGGGAAGAATATCCAATCCCTGTTAATACCCGCCTCTAAGAGGCTTATCAGGGCATTGTACAAGCTCTGGGTCCCAGTGCCTCTGCCAGAGCCTGAGAGGGTGGGCCTTCCACGGGGAAACAGATGGGCTCTCCGCGGCCCCCTGCGGTCAACAGGCAAATGGGAAACTTCTCAAATTTGGCTCTGAGCTCTAGGAATGAGAGATGGTGCAGGGTTCCCATGCTTAGGGGGAGGGAAGATCTGGAAAGATTCAGAAGGCGCTCTGAGGGAACCAAGAGAAAGTGCTTGGGGCTTAAGAGATCAGAAGACCTCAGTTAACACCAGGCTCTGTTTGCTACTGTGTGATTCTAATTGTAATCTAACTGTACGTGTGGAGATAGTAATACCAGATCTTCCTCTTTGTAGGGTGGGCATGAGAATAAAAATTTAAAATGAGGGAATATCTGCTCAATTTCACGGTGAACCTAAAACTGCCCTAAGAAATAAAGTTTATTTTAAAACATGAGGGAATGTGGGGAAAATACTTTAAACTTTGAAGCATTTGGCACGTGAAAAATATTTTATTAGGCCTAAGGGAAATCCTCTGTGGAAAGAGCACTGATAGATCTCCTGAGAGCAAGAGGGGACATCCCAAGATACCCAAGGAATTATGCCTTCAGCTCAGGGCTGGATGTGTTGAAATGAAGGTGGGGGGAGGCAGTGGGAACTTATGACCCTTACCCACTGACCTGGAACCCACTTTAATCACCTAGCTCTGCCTGATCTTTATTAACTGCTCCTTCCTCCCCTCCCTATTTCCCCCAGGGATAGAGATCACATGCAGTTTTGATTGTCCTCCTCTGAAATAGCAGGTAATCCCTCACAGCTTCACCCCTTGCCCTGCTTTATCCAGAGTGGCCTATAAGGTAAGAAGGTGCCCAGGTCCCCCTGCTGAAGCACACAGGGGTACCCACCCCCTGCAGAAACACCGAGAAGGGGGGCTGACCTCTGTCAGTCACCACATCCTTGCCTTTAGGCTGCTGCAGGCAGAACCAGATCTAGTTACTTCCCGTCTCACCCAAGCTGTCTAACAGCCTCAACCTGGCCCAGAAAGATGGAAAGAAGAGGGGTGCCAGAGTGATTCAGTTGGTGAAGGATCTGATTCTTCATCTTGGGGTCATTAGTTCAAGACCCACATTTGGCTTAAAAAAAAAAAAAAAAAAGATAGAAAAAGGAACCAAATTCACAAGGTAGAATTATGAGAGATCTTTTTTTTTTTTCCTAGAATAATTCCTCTAATTTTTACAATGCTATTTGTGCCATATAGGAAATTCAGGGGAGAAGCAAATTCCTAGAAAAGGAATTCCTTTTCTCATATACTTATAACTGTTGCCGAGGAGTTCTTTCTAGTATCTAACCTAAATCTCCCCTGCTGGGGTTGAGCTTGGTTTCCCCTGTCTTGTTCTCAGGGATTGTGGCACACTTGAAATCCAAACTGTAGAGAGTTCTGCAGCTCAACCAAGAGTGGAAGTATGGCCCGGACTGGCAGGGTAGGCGCGGGCAAGTTATTTAACTTCTCGGTGGCTGTAAATCTCTCCTGTGCAATAAGGATAATGTTACACTATCTGCTTGGTAGGCTCGCTGTGAAGAGAAAGTAAATTAATATGTAAAACATACCTACAGGGTCTGGTACTGTTGTTGTTATTCCACTTGTGGAAACCATCGCCTGCTAGGGGCAGCAGGTCCCAGAGCAGTCCACTGTGACAACACTGTACCGTGTACTTACTAGTGTGGTCGCCTGACTCGTGTCTGCATCTCTTACTAGTCAGGGAGCTCCAAGAGGACAGGGACCTTGCCTGTATATTCATGACTGAATCCCCAGAGTCCGGAACAGTGTCTGACACCCAATAAATATATTTGTGGATGAAATGAAAAGGGACATCCCAGTGAGGAGATGCTCTGAGACAGGCTGCCTGAGCTACATACTGGGGTGGGAAGGTGGGAAGGAAATGCCCACTCACTGAGGTTCATGACCATTCAGAAACAAAGTGCTGGAGAAAGACCAGTACCACTGAGGGAAAGATGATCTGCTTTGTTCTACCACATCTCATTTTATAATCTCCCTCCAACAGGGTGGCATGACAGGTGGGAAAGTGTGGGCTCTGACCCTCACGGTAATATTGGTAATATCAGGTCTGAGGAAGGCAAGGTATAGAAGCTACGCAGGTCAGTAAGGAGGCCTTTCCCATTAGAACAGGAGAAAGAGGGAATGCGATTTTTTGCCCAATGGCAAAGGGTTTGTGGCTAAGGCTAGTTTATTTCTGGGCCCACATCTGGCGTTGAGGTTTGACCCTACAGCTGCAGAGTAGAAAGGAGATGAGATTTGGCAGGGGTTGCAAAATCAAATGCCTTCAGGGCCTGGGTGAATAAAATTAAATTAAATTAGCTCTACTCAAAGTCAGCAGAGAGTAATAAGGGCTGTGTCTAGACAGAGAAAGAATGACCCATCAGTAGTCATTCCAATGTTAAAACCATTTAAAAACATTAAAAGGTAGACAAAATGAGCTGAATTAGACCTACAGGTACTACTTTGCAACATCTAATAAAGTAACGAGCCCGACCAGGAGCAAGTCTCCTAAGGTCTCTCAGAGTCTGGTCCCTCATTTATACAACCAGAAAAGCAGAGCTTCTGTGTCGGGGAGATGGAAGAGGTACAGTGTGAGCCTGTGGGAAAGCACTTGGATCTGTCAGGCACGGACCTGTCACAGCCCAAGACCTTTTGCTGGTATTGTTTTCATTGTTCATGTTATATTGTTTATGGAATATTTTTTAAAAGATTTATTTATTTACACATTTATTTATTTTAGAGAGCCCCAGTGGGGCGAGAGCCAGAGGGACAGAAGCAGACTCCCCACTATGGGTGGAGTTCAAGGCCTTAGTTCTCACGCCCCTGAGATCATGACCTGAGCCAAAATCAAAAGTTGGAGGCTCGACCAACTGAGCCACCCAGGCACCCCAGAGGGTGTGACTACACCGCTGTCACTGGTGGGAATAAGCCAAGTAAGCCCCCACACATCCCACCACACTTCATCCCTCTAAGCCAGTGGCTGGAGCCATACCTGAGGCAGGGAGCGGCAGGGTCAGAGTCAGGGTTTGGCCTTCTTAGTCAGGTACCCACCCAGAGGGGCCTGGGGCCTACAGGAGAGGTCAAACAGGCCCTATCAGAGGCTTCAATGTGGCCAGACAGAAATCCCCACAGCACCAGTAAGATGAACAACTCCCCCCTAAGTAAAACTTGCCTCGTCGGTCTGATTTTACAAAGGAATACCAACTGAAGCAACAGTGAGATTTTTTTTTTTCTTATCAGTTGACAAAGGCTAAAAAATGTAATATCCAGTGCTGATGATAATACTGTGAGTTATCAATCTGGTACAGTAGCAAAAGAGACCTTGTTAAACTGGAAGTCAGGTCATGTCCCTCCTCTACTCCAAACTTTCCAGGGCTTTCCCCCCCTCAGTCAGAGGAAAAGCCCTCACCACATCTACAAGGCCTGTTCTGACGTTGCTTGTAAGAGCGAAAATTGAAATCTATCGTAATGTCAATGGACAGGCACTTGGGTGGCTCAGTGGGTAGAGCCTCCAACTCTTGATCTCAGCTCAGGTTTTGATCTCAGGGTCGTGCATTTAAGTTCTGCCTTGAACTAAAAAAAAAAAAAATGTCAATGGAAAACTTGTACATAAATGGTGTCCTAACTTTCCAATAATCAATTATATAGCAGTTCAAAGCAATGAAGATGATGCCCAAGGTACACTGATAGACTAGTAATAATAAAAACAAGATATAAAGAAGAAACCACCAAGGTTTTTATACACCTTGCAGCCTCCTATTCTTCTAATACTGAATTTAGTGTCAACCTCATCCCAGGTCTCACTTCCATTCCAAAGGGGAAAGTGTTCATCCTCTCCAACCCTCTACTTCCAACTCAGGCTTGGTCTTTGGCCCAGGCTTCAAGTGTGGGCCTCTCTTGGAGGGAAGGCTTGGGGAGGATAAAGGGTGGAGTCCCACTTCGACTTACCAAATCCTTATTTAGGCCACCGCATTATTTATAAACACACACACACACACACACACACACACACACACACACACACACACATGCTCCCATGCACTCTAGCTTTGAATAGAGCCCTTTGGGGAGGGGGAGACTTAAAGGCAGTTTGTGGTGTGGGGAAATAAGAGTTGAAAGAAAGATGAGGAATTGTGATTCTCCCATTCGCTGCCCTTCCCCTCTTCTAACCCCCTAGTCCCCACCACACACACATCCAGTTTGGAAGGAGCCTCCTTCCAACCTACAGACTCTTGATTTTGGAGCAGGTCATGATCTCAAGCTTTTGAGATCAAGCTGAGTGCAGCTCTGCACTCAGCGGGAAGTCTGCCTGAGATTCTGTCTCTCCCTCTGCTCCTCCCCCTACAAATGTGGTCTCTCTAAAATAATTTTTAAAAAAATGAAAGAATGGAAGGAAGGAAGGAAGGAAGGAAACTAGTTTTGTTTGCTTTATCGGCCTTTTCATTGGAAGATGCTACCAAAGTTTTAAGAGGGTGAGGGGTGAGCCTGGGAAGATAGATGCAGGCCCAGATCATGAGGCACCTTTAAAAATTTAGTTTGTCAGGGCGCCTGGGTGGCTCAGTGGGTTAAAGCCTCTGCCTTCGGCTCAGGTCATGATCCCAGGGTTCTGGGATCGAGCCCCACATCGGGCTCTCTGCTCAGCGGGGAGCCTGCTTCCTCCTCTCTCTTTCTCTGCCTGCCTCTCTGCCTACTTGTGATCTCTGTCTGTCAAATAAATAACTAAATAAAATCTTTTAAAAAAAATAAAAAAATAAAAAAAAAATTTAGTTTGTAATGCTTTTCAAAGAAGAGGGTGTCCTAAAGAAGTTCCGTTCTACTTTCTTAGACAAATGTAATATCAAATTATCTCTCTTTCCCCCTTTGAGTTTGTTGTTTTGTTTTTGTTTTTCAAATAGTCTCTTACTTCCTTCTTACCTTCTTTACACAAATGCATACCCAATGTTACATACCAGACCCTTGGGAACCAGTGGTGGGTAAGCCTCACCCTTATTTAGAGTGGAGATGAACTGGTATTGTGTAAAATCCCTACTTTGTTCAGTGAGTTTTTCTATTATTTTAGCATAGAGAGAAGCTTTGTGGTTTTCTCAAATGTTGTGGAAAGATTGAGGAGGATTGAGAGCAATTAAAAGAGGGGGGATGACAGTTTCTTCATCAAAGGCACACAAGGGAAAAAAGACATGGAGGGAGAACCTACAGATGACAAGAGACTTCAGAGACTGCATGTCTGGATCTTATTTGGTTCCTGACTCAAACAACCAAAGTAAAAAAAGTGAAATTTAGGGGCACCTGGGTGGCTCAGGGAGTTAAGTGTCCAAATCTTGGTTTCAGCTAGGGTCAAGATCTCAGGGATCCAGCCTCACTGCGGGCTCCACATTCCACACAGAGTCTGCTTGAGATCCTCTCCCTCTCCCTCTGTTCTGCCCCCTCCTCACTCATGCTCACATTCTCTCTTTCTTTCTCTGAAAAAAAAAAAAAAGAATAAATTTTTAAAAATTTTTTTAGTTTAGGGGCACCTTGGTGGCTCAATGTGTTAAGTCACTGCCTTTGGCTCGGGTCATGATCTCAGGGTCCTGGGATCGAGCCCCATATTGGGCTCTTTGCTCAGGGGGGAGCCTGCTTCTCTCTCTCTCTCTCTGCCTGCCTCTCTGCCTACCTGTGATCTTTCTCTGTCAAATAAAGAAATGAAATCTTAAAAAAAATTTTTTTTAAAATTTTTAGTTTAAAAATTAAGAAAAAATTTTTAAGTAAAATTTATATTTTTGAGATACCTGGGTATTTGAGAACTGGTATTTGATGATATTAGGGACTTATTTTTAATTATTTTTAAGTTGATAATGGTATTATAATTATTGTGTTTTTTTTGTTTTAATTTTTTTAAGTCCCCCACTGTCATGAGAATGCAAAGACAAACTCCACAGACTGGGAGAAAATACTTGCAAAATACACAAAATACATAATCGATAAATGAATGTTATCCAAAATACACAAACAACACTTAAAATGCAACAGTAAAAAAAGAAAAATCTGGTTTTAAAAAGTGCAAAAGACCTGAACAGTAGAGACCCTTCACCAAAGAAGATATATGGATGGAAAGTAAGCACATGAAAATATGTTCAACATCTTATGTCATTAGGGAATTGCAAATTAAAACAACAGTGAGGGGGTGCCTGGGTGGCTAAGTGAGTTAAGCCTCTGCCTTCAGCTCCGGTCACGATCTCAGGGTCCTGGGATCGAGCTCCACTTCAGGCTCTCTGCTCAGCGGGGAGCCTGCTTCCTCCTCTCTCTGCTTGTATCTCTGCCTGTGATCTCTCTCTCTGTCAAATAAATAAAATTAAAAAAATAAATAAATAAAACAACTGTGAGAAGCCACTACCCACCTATTAGAAGAGCCAAAATCAAGAACACTGACAACACCAGTGCCGCTGGGGAGCAGCAGGAGCTCTCATTTATTGCTGCTGGGAATGCAAAATGGTACGATCACTTCAAAAGACAACTTTTTCACAAAAGTCTAGTTTCTCACAGAACTAAAAAGCTCTCGCTATATGACCCAGCAATCTCTTTCCTTGGTATTTATTCAAATGAATTGAACACCTATGTCCACACCAAACTATCACAATGGTGTTTATAGCAGCCTTATTCATAATTGTCAAAACTTGGAAGGAACCAATATGTCCTTCAGCAAATGGTGGTACCTCCAGACAGTGGAATATTTATTATTCAGCACTAAAAAGAAATGAGCCATTAGGCCATTAAGCCTTAAACAAACATGACAAAAGCTTCAGTGAGTATTACTAAGCAAAAGAAGCCAATCTGGAAAGGCTATATACATTCAGGGAAAAGCAAAACTATGGAGACAACAAAAAGATTAGTGGTCACTGGGAGTCAGTGGGGATAAAAGGGCAGAACACAGAGGATTTTTAGAGCAGTGAAAGTATGCTGAATGATACGACAAGGGTGGCTCTCTGAATCCCCCTCTGAGCCCCAGTACCTAGCACCTATGAGTGGCCTAGAATTTCTGTCACTAACCTTTGCTTTGCCAGACCAGAGACCAAACCACTCTGCCTTTCAAAAGCCTCTGTTGACAGTGGTCCACTGTTTCAAAGCAAAAATAAATAAATAAATAAATAAATAAATAAATAAATGATGACAGATTATGCAAAGGAAGTTATTTATTGATTCTCTTTAATGTGTGTGTGGAAACGTGCAAATGAAGGTCTCTGGAGTGAGAAAAAGAAATTCTTTAGCCAGCTATGCTATGCCTTGAAAAACAGCTCCTGAAGAACTTCTAACTCTTTGTGCTAGTGTTCTCTGATTTTATATTCACTGGACAACCTTCCGATTTTTCATGGGATTCTACTAAGACTTTACAAATAAAAACAAAAGACTTAACAGTTGCCTTAAGTGACGCAGTCCCCTTGGCAGTTACATTTTACTGTTCCCTTTTAGTAAATCGCTCTTTTGCTTCCCTAATCTCCTGAAACCTATATTCAGAACAAGGTTACCAAAATTTGATCACCCATCAGCAAACTCATAAACTTAAGCTTCAGAACTGGGGAAGGGAGGGCGCCAGTGGCTCAGTTTGTTGGGCGACTGCCTTCGGATCAGGTCGTGATCCCAGAGTCCTGGGGTCAAGTCCCACATCGGGCTCCCAGCTCCATGGGGAGTCTGCTTCTCCCTCTGACCATTTCCCCTCTCGTGCTCTCTCTCTCTCTAATAAATAAGTAAAATCTTGAAAGAAAGAAAGAGAGAGAGAGAGAGAGAGAGAAAGAAAGGAAGGAAGGAAGGAAGAAAGAAAGAAAGAGAGAGAGAAAGAAAGAAAGAAAGAAAGGAAGAAAGAGAGAGAGAAAGAAAACAGAACTGGGGAAAGTAAGGAATCAGTCCACGGAGCTAAGCTGGAACTACCAGGAGAACTGCAACACTCTGGCTGAGTCAACACCACTTTAGGGGTAACCAGACAAGTCCCTTGTCCACACATTCTTGGCCACATCCCTCCCAGGAGGGAAAGAGTTAGAAACTGTGACCAAGTAATCAGGATGCAGCCTTACTTACCTAGATCCCATTATGTTCAAGCATAATAAGGTTTTGAGACAGCGAGGTTAACCAAGTTGGGGAAAGGAGTTCTGAAGCAAAAAGGACAATCTGTAGCTCCCCGGGCCCTGATGCTGGCAGAGATAGTCTCAGGGACTAACTCTCTTCCTTGGCCACCTTGGACATCAGGAGGAGTCGGGGAAAGAACTACAAACAACTAGAACCTTCACTCTCCCATAGAACAAGCTGTGAAAAGTCAGACAGATTGGGATGTTCAGTTCAAAGCATCCTCCCTCCTTGCTTCACCCCCAGGAGGACCTCACCCCATCCCACCAACTAAAGGGAAAAGAGACAGAGGCCTTCTTCTGTTCTCACTTGTAATCTGTGTGGTACAACATGATTCTTTGAACTACAACTACCCAGGCCTGCTTCTCCCTGACATTTCGTGGCTCCCTACGTGGTTAGAAAGTTACTTCTTGCCCCCCTCAAAGACCAGAACCGGGCTGGGGCTGCTGTGGGGCACCGAGTGGCCAGAGGTGAGGCGGGGGGGGGGGGGGGGGGGGGGGGGGGGGCGGGGGGGCCCCCCAAGCGGCGGGGGGAGGGTGGGGCCCGTCCCTCAGGGAAGGGGGGGGGGGGGGGAAAGAAAGTGAGCCTCGTGCTGAGGAGACCCAGAGGGAAAGTCTTAACTTGTCCATTGGCTCAGGTCAGCTAAGAAAAATATATGGTGTGCTTAGCAGGAGCCCTCCTCAGGCAGGACCTGTAGTTAAAGAAGAGTTTGAAGAAGATTCTGTCACCTGGTTCAGAGGACGTGAGTGAGGGGGCTCAAGAGTGTGGGCAAAGAGGTGCACGCGTCAGCAAGTGTGAGGCAGGTGCATCAACAGGCCCAGGTGAGTGAGGAGGCGGCAGTGTGAAGGGTCCGGAAAGGTATCTCTTCAGAGAGGAGGAAGTGGACAGGGGGCCAGAAGGAAAGAGAGAAGAGCCCGAGAAGGGAGACGGAGGGAGAAAGAGAAGGAAGGGGAGACAGGGCCCGGGCTCCCCAAGGTTGGGGATATTGGGGAGAGAGGTCTTGGCGGCGCTGTGGAGGGACGCCGAGGAGGGCGCGCCCCCTAGCGGCCCCGCCGCGCCAGAGCCCTGCCGCTCAGGCCTTAAAGCCCCGCCCCAGCCCCGTGCGCAGACTGGCGCCGGCTTCCTTTTCGTCGCGCGGCCTCTTCGTTCCGGCAGCGGTGCGCGGGCGGAAAGTTTACGCGGACGGACTGGCCGGCGATGGGCGCGGGGTGAGTCGGAGAGCCCGGGGGCCTCGGGCTGTGCTTCGCGGCTTGTGGAGCTGCAGGAGAAGGGGTCAGGGGTCGGGAACGACGCGGAGCCGGCCCCCGGCCTTCCCGCTGCCCCGCGCGGTCTGTGCGGCGCCAGTTCCGGGCCTTGCTCCCGGCCTCCCCTCGCTCGGTAGCTCGGGGTCGCGGGCCCCGCGTAAACACCGCGATTCGGGCCCCTTGCTCAGGCTCTTTTCGTTCCCCCTGCCCATAAGACTTCACATCTCAGTTTGGGGGTTGGACTGATTTTGAGGTAAAAAATCCACTCCCCGACTGCGATTCAAATGCTGTATTCCCAGGCTGGCGGTTCCGAGATGAAGTTGTATCCGAGAACTCGGGAGGCGCTCCTCAGGGCAAGGGAAGTCAGGCTGGCAGAAACCTGAGGGTAGGTAAGGACGCTAACATGAATGTCCGGACCCCTAGAAGCCCGAGAAATTCGAGTGGAATCACGCTCGGAGAGCGAAACAGCTGAGAATCGATTCATTTGCAATCAATTGCCAGCTGCAGGGAAGTTGTAAACGTGTTTAGGTGATTTGGTATTAAGGCCAAGTCAGGTGGCTGGGGTCTGTTCTCAGGCATAGACTGTTGAGAAAGATGGCTTGTAGTTGTCTTAGCGTTGTTTGTAAACTACTTTAAATAGTACTTCTGGGAAAGGGGGAGAATTAACCCAAGTGAGAAATACTTCATGTTCTCAAAAAGTTGCTGGACTGTGGTGGGCGCGAATTTTTTTTTTGTTTTTTAAATCCGGCCTAGAGTGCCGGAGTGAATCATCCTTCGAGAACATGCAAGTCCCTCCTTTAATTCTGTGCTTACAACTTAAGTAATGGTTTCCCTTGATTTTTCCACTGTTAAGAATGTGGATGGCCGTCAATACCTCAGTAAGGAGAAAAAGCCAGCTCTAGAGGTGTTTGCAGAGAAGGCAAGACTGCCGGCTATGGGCACCCTTTCGGTGTTAACAGCGCATTTCAGGGGCCAGAAATGTTTTTTTATACCTGATCTAAATCTGTATATATGCTTTCCCAGTCTCCTTGAAGAGTTGAAGTACTTCCCATGATATCCCCAACTTTTTTTTTTTTTAAGAGCGAGGGGGAGAGAGCCAGTAAGTACAGTGGAAAGGGACAGAGCAAGAGGGCGAGAACTCAGGAAGCACTCATCAGGGCAAGGGAAGTCAGGCTGCCAGAAACCTAAGGGTTGGTAAGGACCCTAACATGAATGGGTGGGCCCCTAGAAATTTGAATGGAATCCCACTCAGTGAAACTGCTGGGAATGGTACAGAGGCTTCACACACAGCATAGAGCCTCCTGCAGGGCTCAGTCTCACAACCCTGAGATCATGACCTGAAGCAAAATCAGTAGTCCCCTGCCCAACCAATTGAGCCACACAGGTATGCCCCCCCCATCTTTTTGTTCCTCCTCTCTGAACATTTGTTTATTTGAGAGCATGCACATGTGCGCAGGCCTGCATATGGGGGGCAATGGGCAGAGGGAGAGGAAGAGATAGTCTTAAGCAGACTCTCTACTGAATGTGGAGCCCAATGTGGGGCTTGATCTCACGACCCCATATCATAAACTGAGCCAAAACCAAGAGTCTGAGGCTTAACCACCTGCACCACCCAGGTGTCCCTTCCCAACTTTCAATGATGAACAGGGGTCTGCATGGAAATGGGACTACCATGTGAGCTGGATAAGCTCTATATGTGGGCAGAGACACAGGAGTCGCTAGTATTTGCTTGAATGAGGAGGAGAGAAGGAAATGTGTTTCTGGTTTCCCGAATTAACGTTCATCCTGTGTTTTGCCAAAGAATGTTCTGTGTGATGCCTTAGGGTAGTTTATTACTCATTATCAAATATTTGTCAAGCACATACCCTGTGCCAGTTACCGTGATAGGTTCTGAGGAGATGTTGGTGGGCACAATCTGACCCAGTCCCTGCCCTCAGTGACCTTATGGGCTAATATAGTATAATTGAACCAATATTATACAGGGCCTCACTTCTTGAACAGCACAGGTAAGACCCAGAAAGAAAAGAAACTGAGAAGATGAAGTAGTACCAAGTTGATACACTTAAGCCCATACATTTTACACTAAAGGAAACCCACAGGCTCTGAGAACCTGTTGAGTTTGACTTTGGGCACAGTTTTAACAAGCTTGATTACCTGGCTTTCTAGCCCATAGTAGCCAAGAAGAAGCAAATTAGGGAATTAGTTAGATAGAATGTAAGCTGATGGACTGAAAATTAATCATAAAAAGGCACCAAAACAGAGCACAATAGCCTGGATCCCTTGAATACAAGGCATTGTTTTTGTGTATATTCTACATAATCCCTGTTTTATGGGACCTTCATGGTAATTGTGTAGAAAAGGGTTAAATGGGAAACACAGGGTTAGCATGTTCAAACTGGATTTTTTGCTCTAGAACTTTTCAGTGTCTTTATTAATGCCTGAACTCATTTTTCTTAGAGCATCTCTCCAGAACAGTGTTCTGCAGCACACAATGCTGGTGTGGGGGTGGAAAAAAAAAAAAAAAAAACAAAACCAAAACGTCAAACCTAAGAACAACAGGGTGATAGGCAGTATTGGCGTGTAGAGTGGTGATGCCAAGTCATCATAGAGTAGGTTATGTTTTGCACAGTGTTTAATGAGGCAGAAAACAGGGATATGTATTTTAATTTTTCTACCAAAATGGCTAAACATTTTGGAATTTTAAAGAGTCTGGGGAAGTAATTTATATCCCTCATTTGATCTTTATTGACGTTAGATACATGAGGCACTACTGTATTTGAAATGTGTCTCGGGCCGCTATGTGGTAAAAAGGCTTTTCCCACTTCCCTTGAGTCCCTGACCCCTGTTTATAACCTTGCTTCCATGAACCATTAGGTTCTGAGTTCCTGACAGCCTATTTACAAGTGGAATTTTATAATAACGTTTGTAGTTGGACACTTGGCTGTAACAAGCAGTTTGGCCAGTGTTAAGTGTTTTTGAAGTAAGTTCCAAAAAAGAGGGGGCCCCTGGATGGCTTAGTTGTTAAGTGTCTGCCTTCAGCTCAGGTCATGATCCCAGGGTCCTGGGATCGAGCCCCACATCAGGCTCCCTGCTCTTCGGGAAGCCTGCTTCTTCCTCTCCCACTCCCCCTGCTTGTGTTCCCTCTCTCACTATGTCTGTCAAATAAATAAATCTTTAAATTAAAAAAAAGTCCAAAAGAAATTAGCGAGCATTTAATTTCTAACCAATTTTGTCCATCCAGGGTCTTCCCTAATTGTATATATACAATATATATATGCAGTGAGTTTTTTGAAGGTGCAATTAGAATATACGTACAATCCTATGACCTGCTTTTCTCATTTACTGGTATTTTATATAAATATTTCTCATATTTAAATACATGTCTTTTATTTATAGCTATATAAGAGTTCATTATGTCAAAAGACTATAGTTGCTTATCAACAGAGTAGCTGCAAGTTGTATCCCCATGAGCAAGTCTGTATATCTGAACTTTCTTGTTTATTTTTGAGAACAGAAATGTTTCTTCATGTAATACTCCATCCGTAATTTTAAAGGACTTTGTTTTCTCCATTTCTTCTGCATATTGACTTTTTTTTTTTTTGAAGATTTTATTAATTTACTTCTTTCTTTATTTATTTAGAGAGAGCCTGAGCTGGGGGAGGGACAGAGGAAGAAGGAAAAACAGAAAGGAAGATCTCAAGCACTACCAAGCATGGAGCCTGATGCGGGGCTCAATTCTAGGATCTTGAGATCATGACCTAAGCCAAAACCAAGAGTCAGATGCTTAACAACTACAACTGAGCCACCCAGGCTGCCCTCTACGTACTGACTTTTATACACGATTTCCTGAGATGATAATGTCAGCTGGCCTATATACGCTTTCTTTCATTTTGTTCTTTTCCCTCAATGAAAGCATTGTTTTCCAATTTACATACAGTATTTCTGAGCTGGTAGTAGTTTACTGCTTTTGTCATGCATAATGACTTCCAGCTTTGTCTAATTTGGATTATGACTCTACTAGCCCTTTAATTTTTACATTTTACATTCATTTTTTAGTAATAAAAGCATCAAGCAACAAGATAAATAAAAACGTAATTATTGCTGTATTGATTAAGAAAGTGATGGTGCCCCGAAAAAAGGGTAGCTTGTCAAAAAGCACCACCGTGTGACAGAAATGTTCCTTCATAAATTAAGTGTTGGAGAGGCGATGTAGGAATGTTTGTTATATTCAGTTGTATAAACTTTGAAATTATGAAAGTCAAGGGCTACCTGAATTTAATATATTTTTTAATAGAAATATGTGGTCCTTGGGACACCTGGGTGGTTCATTCAGTTAAGTGGCTGCCTTAGGCTCCAGTCCAGGCTCCAGGGTCCTGGGATCAGCTCCACATGGGGTTCTCTGCTCAGCAGGGAAGTCTGCTTCTTCCTCTTCCTTTGCTTGTGCTCTCTCCCCGCTTGTGCTTTCTCTCTCACTCTCTCTCTCAAATAAATAAAATCTTTAAAAAAAAAAAAAAAACAAAAAGCATGTGGTCCTTGATTTATGGCCATTTAGTGGGTGATTCTAGGAGTTGTTCACGCAGTGAATTAAGTTGCTTGCTTTCCTCCCTCTGAAGTCTCTGCAGTTTTGCCTTTACCTCAACTTAGATGAGGTTTGCCTTCACTCATTTCCTCAAAGTTTGGTTAAAATTAGGGTTGGAGAAAAAAAACTTTTCTCTCTGTAACATGTAAGACCTAATCATACTTATTTTCTACAGCATTTCTCTGTTCATAGCTGTTTGTTTGCACTCTGACCGGGAACACACTGGGATCATTTTCATCATGCCAACAGTGGTGGTAATGGACGTATCCCTTTCCATGACCCGACCTGTGTCGATCGAGGGGTCTGAGGAATATCAACGTAAGCACCTAGCAGCCCATGGTTTGACGATGCTGTTCGAGCACATGGCCACAAATTACAAGCTTGAGTTTACAGCCCTGGTGGTTTTTTCCTCACTTTGGGAGCTGATGGTTCCCTTCACAAGAGATTACAACACACTTCAGGTATAAAAAGTAATGAGTTATTATATGTACAGGGCCCAGATTTTTAGGAAGGAAAATAGTGTTATATTGCACTGAATATTTATAACTTGGACTTTTTTTTTTTTTTTAAGATTTATCCATTTATTGGGGGAGGGGGAGGAGCAGAGGGAGAGAGAACCTCAAAGCAGATTCCATGCTGACCACTGAGCACAATGATCTCAGGACCCTGAGATCAAGACCTGAGTGAAAACCAAGAGTCATGCTCAACTGACTGTGCCGCCCCAGTGCCCCAGAGAACTTGGACTTATTTAATTTAAGTGTATGGATATGATATCTGAATATGGCTATAAAACAAAGATTCACTTATTATAACCATCAGTCTATGGGTATAATATCTGAGTATAGCTGTGAAACAAAGATTCACAACCAGTAATAAAGGCCTTATGCCTTTGGTAGAGCTATGAGTTTGAGCTCTGAGTTGTTGCCTTATTTTCTTCTCTGAGTTTTCTGGAATTTTCTGTGGAAAGGAGAGCATAATAGGATGTAATTCCCCATTCTCTAAGATTCAGGGTACTTTAAATTCAACACCTTATTATTTTCTACTTTCCTATAAAACTTGAGATGAAAAATAGCCCTTATAAAAACCTTTATTCTAGAGTAATTAAAAATATTTCATCTCTAATAAATACCCTTTGATTTACAGATGCCAAGAAATTATAATTTTTAAACCTCAGTTGATGGTTCATAAGGTGTTGTCTGTGATATGCCAGAGAATTTACTTTCTGACAACATCTCCATCTATTTCCAGCAGTACCTCATAATGGTCAATAAGTGTGGAATTAAAACAGTTTAATACTTGTTGGGCAGGTTAGAGATCCAGGATTAGTGTAGTTTGATTTTTTTTTAAATAAAAAGTAATAAAATTTTGTTAAATCATTTATTTTCTCAGTTTTTTTTTTTTTAATGGTACTCAAAAGCTCTTTAAAAATTGCACTGGATTTCTTGTAAATGAATAGTAAACTAAGGATTTTGGATGTCCAGCAGTTTTGAAATTTAGAGTTGCTATATGAGTTGTTCAGAGTAGTCGTGAAAGCCAGGTGCCCTGGAGTCCTACTGATGGGGCTTAAATCTAGACTCTGCCATATCAAGGCATGCAGCCTGGGAAAGTTACCCCATCATTCTGTACCTTTGTTTCCTCATTTTAAAAATAGGTCAATAGGGGCGCCTGGGTGGCTCAGTTGCTTAAGCGACTGCCTTCAGCTTAGGTCATGATCCCATTGTCCTGGGATCGAGCCCTGCATCGGGCTCCCTACTTGGTGGGGAGCCTGCTTCTCCCTCTCACTCTACTGCTCTGCCTACTTGTGCGCTCTCTCACTCTCTCTGTCAAATAAATCTTTAAAAAATTAGTTAATAATTTATACTTTACAGAGTGTTGAGATAACTAAATGCATATGAAGTGCCTAGGCTGGTATTTATAATATATAGTTAGTACTCAATTTTTTTTTTTTTTTTGGCGGGTTTAAAAGTTCTTCATTTTAGTTACTTTCTTCAGGGTTCCCTTACAAAGCTATGGTGGACTGTTCACTCTCACTTGAGAATGGAATAAAGGGAAGCTCTTTTAATCGTCCTTTGTGGTTGAGGAAGCCTGTTTTTACCATTTTTCTTTGAGAAAATATGCTTTGGGGCTCTCAGAAACACATAGTCCCCTGTGTAACATTCATGCTTTGAACAGTTTATGTTGTTCTCTAATAACAAAACAGTACAAAATAATGAGCAATTTTATCTTTTATTCAATCAGGAAGCACTAAGTAATATGGATGATTATGATAAAACCTGCTTGGAATCTGCGTTAGTTGGTGTTTGCAATATCGTTCAGCAAGAATGGGGTGGTGCGATTCCTTGCCAGGTAACGATCAATTCCTTTTTTCCTAAGTTAAACCATTAAACCATTACTTTTTTCCTAAGTTAAAACCATTAACCACTGAGGTGATTTGATTTTCTTTAGGCTCTGACACAGCATGCATTGTAATTTCTATAAACTCTATTATACATTATTGGTATCTTTTTAAAAGAAGGCACTAAGTCAGCACTAATATGCTCAGAAAACAGCACAGTTATGCCTTAAGGAAAGCATTCTCCTAGCAGATTGGCTTATGGCAAACTAGTACTGTTTGTATAAAACACGAAGGGCTCACAATTGAGTTTCAGAACACTCAAATTACCGATTGTAATTTTGAGTGATAGAATTATAAACATCAGTACATGATAGTCTTCATTATCTTGGTGTAGCATTTTTTTAGCAAATGTTTGACCATCTCAACTGAGTTGTCTAAAAGTGATGAGTATGAATGTCATATGATCTATTGCCCTTCAGGTCCATAGTAGGTCCACATTAGCATCAAATGAGAACAGAGTATTAGGATAAAAAGAATTAGAAGTTTGCTCTAAACAGGTATAAACATACCTTGGAGATATTGTGTGTTTGGTTCAGACTATCAGAATAAAGCTGACGTTGCATAAAGTTGAGTCAGTTGAAGTTTCTGGTTTCCCAGTATGTATAAAATTTTTACACTGTACTGTAGTCTATTAAGTTACAATAGCATTATGTCTAGAAGACATAATGTCTATACCTTAATTAAAAAATACTTTATTGCTAAAATGCTAGCCATCATCTGAACTTTCAGCAAGTCATAATCACTGGTCACAGATCACTATAACAAAGATAATGAAAAAGTTTGAAATATTGCAAGAATTACCGCCACGTGACACACAAACACAAAGCGAGAAAATACTGTTAGAAAAACGGCACCGATAAACTTGCTCAGGGCAGGGCTGCCATAGACCTTCAGTTTGTAAAAACTACAATATCTGTGAATATATTGCAACAAAGCACAAAAGTAAATATGCTTGTGCTTTGAGAAGTGGTAGTATAATTTAAAGGAGAAAACAAATCACTAAAAGGAAAATTAGAGTAATCTACAACAGGAGTCAGCAAGCTTTTTGATGTTTGTGACAACTTCTCAATTCCACTGTCATAGCATGAAAGCAACCACAGTTAATAAGTACATAAATGACTTTATTTACAAAAACAGGCAGTGGGCCATAGTGTATGATTTTTTTGTTATATGGTCAAATACCTGTTCCTCAGTAGTGTCAGTGACATTACTGGTATTTATTTTTTAACTAAAAATAAGATTGTGGTTGCCTGGGGGTGAAGGAACAGTAGGGAATTGACTCAAATGAAGCACAAGGGAAAATGGGAAGTGCCAGGACTGGTCTTTATCTTAATGTAGAAGTGGTTCCTCACCAAATAGAGTTGTTGGAACTCCCAGAACCATATACTAAGAAGGATGAAGTTTATTGCATGTAAATTATATCTCAGTAAACCCACCTTTTAAGTTTGTTTTTTTCTTACTACAAAACCACCTGTTTTACAGAGTATGAGCTCATGGGTTAATGAAGACCCTGAGCTGTTACTAAAAGGTGAAATCATTTTAATAAATGCCATAAATGTCTTTTGATCACTTCCCTTTCAGAAATAAAAATGTTTGGCATTTCATAAACATTGTTTGGTAAATCTGCATACAGAATATCCTAAGAATATATTGTATATTGAATAAATGAAATTTTGTTGTCAGTATCTTCTGAACTGGAAGCTAGTGGAGAGCAGTTTCCTTTGCTGCTGCTTCAGTCATTTTAGAGAAGAAATTCAGAAAATTTGTAACAAGCAAGGTCTTGTGCAACACACAGCCTTCTGCCTGTTAATATTTTTTCTTCCTTTACAGAAGGAAGAATCTGAATTTGAGATGTCCTATACCCTGAGGGCCCGGGGCCGGGCCTGGATCCACTTAGGTTTGCTTGATGAGTTTTAGAGTGAACCACGTCCAAAATACCATACTAGAGATAGAAGTTATTAGTGATTATTTTTATAATCCGTTACTGTCAAATAGAGTTGTTTTAATGTGGAAATTTGCTAACCAGGGTTTCAGCCAGCCGGACTGTGTCTTCATTATCTGTGTAGTCTGTCTCATTTTGACATTGCATGAAAAATTTCATCACACAGCATCTGAAAAAAGTAGGGGCAGAAGTAAATCATTATATAGCAGTTGTTCGTATAAGAAGAAACTGCCTTATCTAGTCAGTTGACTGTCTTCCCAGAAAATGACATCTCTCTAGGTGACTGCCATTGAGCATTCTTCGACTTTGGAAATGAGTGCCAGTCTTGGTACTTCACATGGTGCGGTCGCCTGATACTACTTTAGTGGCCCATTATTATCAAGTTAGAAGGCTAGGGGAGGAAGAGCAAAAATAATCCTCCCCTGGAATGCTTGGAAAATCTGCCACCACATAGGATCACTGAGGCAGTGAGGAAGAAATTTAATTTGTAACTATTGTCCATTGTTGGTATATTTTGAAGGCTTTTTCAGATTACAGATTGGTTAAGAGTGTACTTTAAAGGCTTATAATGTCTGGTTAAATGGCTTTTATAAATACATTTTTTTAGAGCAGGAGAACGGCAGAGGGAGAAAGAGCAGGCTCCATGCCCAGCACGGAGCCAGACACAGGGCTCGTTTTGACAACCCTGAGATCATGACCTGAGCTGAAATCAAGAGTCAGACACTTAACCGACTGAGCCACCCAGGCACCCCTATAAATACATTTTTTTTTTTTCAGGATTTTTTTTATTCATTTGACAGAGAGCACAAGTAGGTAGGGCACAGGCATAGGGAGAAGCAGGCTCCCCCCTGACCAGAGAGCCTGATGTAGGGCTTGCTCCCAGGACCCTGGGATCGTGACCTGAGCTGAAGGCAGAGGCTTAACTGACCGAGCCACTCAGGCGCCCCTATAAATATATTTTTAAAGCAGTTGTCATCTTAATTGCCCATGGATAAAGCTTGTCATCTTTGAAAATAGTGTCAAGGTCAGACTTCTGTCCTGATGCTTCCTAGGGTCACATGTAAAATAGAACCACATGTCATTCTTGACGTCCAGTGCCAGGTTCTAGTTTTAATACAATTTAGTATGAGTTGGTTATGATTTTAAGTGTTTATAAATAGGTACTATTTTTTAGGTTTAATTAGATAAAATACAGGAAAGTGCATAGATGTTAAACACGTAATTTACTGAGTTTTGACAGATGCACACACCTATGTGTAACCACCACTCCAGTTAAGATCTAGCACGTTTCCATTACCCACCAGTTTCTTCACTTTCCCCTTTCTAATCTATATCCCCCCAACACCCCACAGCTTCTATTTGACTTATCTTAGCTTTGTTGTACCTGTTCTAGAACTTCATGTAGAGAATCACACAATGTGTCCTTTTTCACTTGACAGAATGTTTTTGAGATTTATTCACCTTGTTGCTTGTCTCCCTGCAGAGGTGGGTTTTTCAGTGTAAATGCCATTAGGGAGAAATGAGACTGCTTTAAATAAAAATGTTATTTCATGTACAAACCTCCTCTCATTCCTTGCAAACAGGTTGTTCTGGTGACAGATGGCTGTCTTGGCATTGGTAGAGGGTCACTTCGGCATTCCCTAGCTACTCACAGTCAACGAGGCGAGAGCAACAGGTTTCCGCTACCTTTTCCTTTCCCATCTAAGTTATACATCATGTGCATGGCAAATCTGGAGGAGGTAATACTGAGTTCTTTTTAGTTTGATTGGATACATTTTAGGACTTTATTTTTAGTATATTCCATTAGTTTTATATTGTATATACTATAACATTGAACTTCATTGCTTTCAGCTGAGGCTAATCACTAAATTTGGAAGGCTCTAGGTCTCAAATGCTTTTTTGAAGATTCAGTGTTGTCCATCTCTGGAAACATAGCTGGCAGGAGTTGTTATCTATCCTTCAGATGCATAAGAGTTAAAATGTTCTTTTTGGTATTAGACATTTACCTTGTTTAGAAATTCTTATGTCCATTCCACCAGAAACACTGACAGAAATGTACTTGAACTTTTCTGGTAAAGTAACATTACTGTGAAGTATGCTTTATTAAACTCTACTTCCTGGTTTTCCCATTTATTTGGGAAAGTTATTTAACATTTGTTCACCTCAGTTTTTCTATCTGTGAAATGTAGATAATGATAGCTCTCACCGAAAAGATGTTAGAGACACTTTGGAGAGAAGATACTGTGCAAATACCAACTGTGGTCACTTCTGAGAATCTTTGCAAAACTACTTCTGAGTAAAATAGCTCTACTGGTATGATTTTCTATAGCATTCCTCTTGGTAACCTTGAATCAAAATTGTTATAGTTATTTTCGCCTCAGGTTGTTTAAAAAAAAATCTCTGTTATTTATTGCCTGTGTTATTGTGATGGGTGTGACCTTGGTGTGCTGATAATAATTTGGCATTTTGTGCCACTTTAAAAGGGTCATCTGTTTTGCTTTGTAGCTTCAGAGTACTGATTCCTTGGATTGTCTTGAACGTCTCATAGATTTAAACAATGGCGAAGGACAGATTTTTACTATCGATGGCCCCCTGTGCTTGAAAAATGTACAGTCTATGTTTGGGTAAGTATATGCTTACAGCTTTTTTGCCTTCTTACAATCTGTTATTATAATTTGATATTCAGCTATAATGTCTGTTTCACTATTTCTAACTATTGTCATTTCATTTTCCCCGAGTTGCACAATTTTCAGGCAAAATGATTGGTAGTAGTGATTTTTAAAAGTTCATTCCCTTTTAAATTAAGTGGGACTAAATCAATAATGCCTATAGATACTGACTTCCTTACAATGACTCAGCAGTTTCAAAAGATTAACTTGCTTTTGGGCTTTTCAGAATTGAAATTTCCTCACCAAAAATGTCAGATTTTGTTCTGTTTCACAAATGGTCAGATCATAGTTTTAAGAATTGATTTGAAGGGAAAAATAAACTTAACCTCTTGAAAAAATTACTTGAAATAAATGCTATGTATCCTAGAAATACTCTTCTTATAACAATTAATCATCATATTCTAGAAAACTGATAGATCTGGCGTATACACCTTTCCACGCTGTTCTCAAGTGTGGCCACCTCACTGCTGATGTGCAGGTCTTCCCCAGACCAGAGCCCTTTGTTGTAGATGAGGAAATCGATCCCATCCCTAAAGTCATCAACACAGGTGATGTGTTTTTTTTTTTAACTTTCTTCTTAGTTCTTTTGTTATCTTTATTTTCTTATAACTTCTCGCATCTTCTCTATCCAGGAGGGTTTAAAAGAAATGTAAATTCTGACTCTAGGGTGCTGTTGTCATCACCAGTGTATACATTTTGAATGGAAGGAGGCATTGCCAAAATGGTGGCAGGCTTGTGGTATTTCATGGTGATCTCCAGTCCTAGTAACTATAGCCACAAATTACTAGAGTTGGAAATCATGATCAGATTCACTAGCCATGAAATCCCTGAAGGAATTCTTAATATAGATACTAAGATTGATTAGCCTCATAAATAAGATCATCTGTGAAGAGCTAGCTTCTAGATTTAGCTGTGTGATTCTTCCTGTGTGACCTTGGACAAGTCACTTCCTCTCATACTGACTGGCTAGGTGAGTGAAATCTCTAGATGAGTCATGGTCTCTCTGAGGTCTCCACTCTGATACACCATACCCCTCGAGCCCTGCTGCTTGTATTTTCACTAAAAGGAGACATGCTCCTGCTTTTCCCTGGTTTGTGCTAGAGGTGTGCTTTGCTGAAATTGGCAGAGTGAGTCAGAAGTCATGAGGAAGAGTGAAGAGGAGAGTTGTCTCCAGTTGGTGGATGGACTCCTTGAGTGGTGGGTACACATTCAGCCATCACTGTTTCATCGTTGTACCTTCAGTGCCTAGCATAGCATCTGATGCTTAGTAGGTGTTCACCAGGTAAATGTCTGGTCAACCAGTTATAATAGAATTAAGTGCACAATAAATATTCATTTCACTTACGGGTGTGCAGATTTGAAGGAGTCTGAGAGTAAAGGGCATGCAGAGGCTTTTTATTTTTTGTGCCTTTAGCCTCTGGCTGTCTAGAAGTCAACATTCATCTCTTTCATGAACTACTGCAGTGTGTTCAGCTGTGCCAAATGTTTTGTTGCCTTCAGACCAGCTATATTCTACTTCCTTCCCATCCTTTTTTGATGGGTAACTTTGAATAGATCTCTTCTTGTCCATATAAACTTTTAGTCCAAGATCTTTGTTATAGCTTACACCACTTCGAAATGTAGACCTTTTGCTACTCAAAGGAAAAATATGTAACTGCTTATGCTGACTTATTCGTTATTCAGCTAAAGAAGGTAATGGCAGCAAATCTCCAGAGAAGCAAATTTCCTGACATAGTAGAAGTACAGTGTACTCACCATGACCCTGATTTTTTTAAAAATTGCTTTGAGAGGGGCTCAGTCAGTTAAGCATCTACCTTTTGCTCAGGTCATGATCCCAGAGTCCTGGGATCAAGCGCCATGACAGGTTACCCGCTTAGCGGGGAGCCTGCTTCTCTCTCTCCTTCAGCCTGCCACTCACTCTGCTTTTGCGCTCGCGCTCTCTCTCTCGCTCTCTCTCTCTCTCTCTCTCTGTCAAGTGAATAAATCTTTTTTAAAAAAATCGTTTTGAGAATATGAGTATGTCTGTGCCTGGAAGAAAGACTGAAAAGCAATTCAATAAAATACTAATAGATGTTTCTTTTGATGGTGAATAATGAGTGACCTTATTTTTCCTCTTCACAATTTTTAGTGTTTTCTAAGTTTTTCTACTATTTATATAATCAGAAAATAAACTTTTAATAAGTACTTTGGGATAAAACTTTTATTTTTTACCTATTAGGTTTCCGGCAAGTACTCTGGGTCTTTAATACAGCTTCTGTAAAGCAAAGAAATCATTGTCATATTTAGACTGCTACCTTGGGCTTCTAGTGAATGTATTTCTTTCTCACGGAAATGTTTTTAGTAATAGCTTTACAGTCCAAGGACGTTTGCTCCTCCTGCAAGGATGGAGTGGTGGAAGTGCTTGACTATGACGCCCCCTGCCGACCCTAACATCCTTGACTAAACAGAAGGATTGGATGTTTAAGCTTTTGCCTTGGCTGGGGTCCTAGCCTCATAAAAATAAAGTCTAACTGGTTTGTCTTACAACTTAAATCATTAAATGAAAGGCAGTTATTCTTGTATCTTGAGCTGTTTAAAATGCAAATTATGAGTCATCCAGAGAAACGTCTAATAACCTTCCTAGTCACATCTGAATTCCTCACCTAAATGCTATATTTGTGAAACCTAGTACATAGAAAATAATGTATTTCCCTGTCCATTAATTCAGTGTTGATTCATTCTTTTCAGATTTGGAAATAGTGGGATTTATTGATATAGCTGATATTTCAAGTCCCCCAGTTCTGTCCAGACATCTGGTCCTACCAATAGCACTTAACAAAGGTGAGTTCTCTTCCTATTCTAGTGATATAGATGAAGCATCTTATGATCTAAAGTTATTCTTAAATGTATATAGTTGATAGTAGGACAGCCCATTTTGCAGAATTAGAGGAAAGGAATAGTTACTGGATTTGATTTTTAAAAATGGAATGTTTCCTAATAATACTAGAAGACCATTTCTGTTATTTTAATTCCACCGCCAGAAAAAAATCCCTTTAGCTGTCAGCCCCTAGTTTTCCATCTCCATCAGCCCCAGGTAACCACTAAATGTTTTTCTGTTTCTATAGGTTTACCTATTCGAGATGTTTCATTTAAATGGAATTCATATAATATGTGAAAACTGATTTTTATATGGACATAGGAAAACGAGAAAAGGAGTTTTTTTAACTTGTTACAATATTTCTTTATAACTGAATACCCTCCTTCCAAGGCTAGAAACAACCAGCTAATCTTATTCTGATCTTTTCACAGAAGGTGATGAGGTGGGTACTGGCATAACTGATGACAATGAAGATGAAAATTCAGCCAATCAAATTGCGGGCAAAATACCCAACTTTTGTGTCCTGCTCCATGGCAGCCTGAAAGTAGAAGGAATGGTGGCAATAGTTCAGTTAGGGTAAGGAACTTTGTTTACCTTTGGTTGAATGAGGGAGAATCAATTTACAGAGTGAAATATTTCCCGGATTTTTCCTTATCACCTTTTTCTTCCCCCTGCCATACTTTTCCCACCTACCATCACCTCCTAAACTGCTCTTTAAGTTATCCCCTAGAATAAGTACAGAGTGAGCCTTTTAATTATATTGCTTTTATATTATATCCTTTTATAGTATATCTTTTTATATTACATCCTTTTATATTATTTCCTATAGTTTTCCTCTTTTCTATCTGGGAAATCTGGATTCAGTTATAACAGTTCTGCTACTTGCTCTGGGATCTTAAGCAATATTCACAGGCTCCTCAGCTATAAGATGAGGAGGTAGAACTAAATGAAAAAGGATACCAAGAATATTGATTGAAAATTTTACCATGTGCCAGGTGCTCCTCCAGTCACTTTACATATATTAATTTTATGTAACCCCTCACAACAACACTCTGCAGAGGGTGTCAGTGTTTTCCCTATTGTATAGATGAGAAACTGAGGCTTAGGGAGGTCAGGGAACTTGCTCAAGGTCACACAGCTTATAAATGAAAGAGCCAGGGTCCTTACCCTTGCATTCTGACTCCAGACCCCATATTCATAACCACTGTGCTGTAACCCTTCCCTGTGGGGAACACCTCTCTAGCTTTTACATTTGCTACAGTCTTGAAATTTGCAAAACCATCTGCTTCCCTTTCTATAATACCTATTGTTAGGAAAGAAGAGGTGACTGATCATCTTCTGGCCATCACCTGGGGTTGACTGGTATAGAAGATGAAGAGGTTAGGAGTACTCAGGTGAAGCTCCATTTCTACTTGAGTTAAAATTACCTGGTTCAAAAAGAAGAAAGCGATTCTTATTAGGTATTAGTTTGCTGTATTTCTTGGTACCCAAGCTGCTTGTACTGACTAGCTCTGAATATGAGAGTCCTCTAGGGCCTTTTGAGAAGCAGGAACAGAGCTGGGTGATGGCTTTGTGCCCTTTGTTAGAAATGCTGCTCTGTGTTGGTGCTGCTGTGAATGACTCAGGGAGGCAGCTGAAACATGGGTTGCAACCCTTTGTCCTCCCTACCTCTGTAGCTATTTGTTGCCCTTGTGATTTTTTTCTTTCCTAAGATTGCTTTTGATTTCTGTATCTACCTAATTGAATAATAATACATTTCCCAGAGGAATGGCAATATCAGAGGATAGCAGTATGCATTTTCAGTTTTAGGATTTGGCTTTAGTAAAAATGAGCCTAATTTCAAAGCTGAAGACCCATGTCTTTTCAAGAGAAAAACACTGGCTAGACTTATATAATTTCATAGTCCCAGGCTTGACATTCTTTTGATCTTCCATCTTCTCTCCATCTAGTCCTGAATGGCATGGAATGCTCTACTCACAAGCTGACAGCAAGAAGAAATCAAACCTCATGATGTCTCTCTTTGAGCCTGGCCCAGAACCTCTCCCATGGCTAGGGAAAATGGCACAGTTGGGTCCTATTTCAGGTATAACCCAGATCAGATTTTACTTACCTTGACTTTGTTTTCTCTCTGCTATTCTGAATGGCTCTGACTGCAGTCAGAGAGCTGTGTGATCTCCCCGACACATGTGCTGTGGTCTCTAATGCAGATATGTGCATGGAGAACCCCAGCAGAGTGTGATGTTTGAACTTTCAACTTTATGTCAAGGGAAACTGACATTTAGATTGCTTTAAGTAAACGTAAGTGCTCTGACTGCTTAGAGTGAAAAGCTACTGTCCATAAACATTTTTTTCTTCAGTATACTGTTTTCAACTCAGTAACCCCAGTCATTTATAGATAATTTAATCCCCTTCCTTCTTAAAAATGTTTTCCCTTAGATTTCCCAATATTCCATTCTTCTGATACTTGTTTCTTTAGCAGCTTTGCCTTATCTTGTTGTCTTGTCTTCCTCTTGTCTCATGATTTTCAGGATGTTTTCCTTTGCCGCCTTCTCTTGGATTATTATTCTCTCTTGACTATTCCATTAGACATTATAGCTTCAGACTCCCCTAGATGTAGAACTCTGGTCCTACTTGATCTCTCCCTGAAACTTGCATATCATGTTTCCAATTCCTAGTTAGACCTCTCCACCTGGGTATTCTGCCATAGTACCAAGCAGCTCAGCATGTTTGTTAAGGAAACCATCGTCTCTTAAACCTTCCCTCCTAAGCTGTTCCTTTTTATGATTTTCCCGCTCCTGATTGAGGCCTACGTATTCCTGGGTACTCAGGCTCCAACTGTAGAGTCATTCTGGACTCATTTGGGCCCATTTCAATTTCAGAAACATCTACTAAACAAACTTGTGAGGGGTAAAAGACTTGTACGAGATCAGGGTTGGCCTGGATGATCGGCTCTGCGTAGAGGACGCAGGAAAATCTTCACAGAGGAGGGACACCCAAACTGAGGTTTGAAGAAAAAGATTTGCTGAGCTAATGAAGGAAGAAGAGGCATTCTGGACAAAGGGATCACCTATAGAAAAGCAAAGCTAGAACACAAAGCATGGGTGGGGCGGGGAGGGCCCGGTGGTGGGTTAGAAGTTGGCAGTGGCTGGAATAGGGCATACCTCCTCTGAAATGTGAAAGCTGAGACTATTCTGCAGATACTGGGAAGCCACTGAAGGGGATGCATATGAGAAGTGGAGATACCAGTTAGGAGACTTTTTTTTTCTGGGTACTGGTGCTCCCTGGAGATCCATAGTATGGCTGAAATTCAAGTGAGAGCTAATAAATTGGCATTTAGAAAGATAATTCTGGGGATGTCTGGGTGGCTCAGTTAAGTATCTGACTTTGTTTTGGTTTCAGCTCAGGTCATAACCTCAGGCCCCACACTGGGGTCTGTGCTCAGTGGGGACTCTGCTTGAGATTTTCTCTCCCTCTCCCCCTGCCCTGCTCAGGCATGTGTGCTCTCTCTCTCTCTCTCTCTTTCTCTCAAATAAGTAAATAAATAAAATCTTCAAAAAAGAAAGATAGATAATTCTGTGGAGTGAGGATTTGGAAAGGTAAGAGCATCCAGCAGTTACAAGTTTGCTGTGACAGTCCTGGAGATGTAAGGATGAGAGCCGGAACAGGGAGGTTAGGGATCCATGCAAAAGATACTCAGGAGGCAGAATCAACTTTGCTCATTTTGCCTGTGAGATTTAGGTAGAGGAGGCTAGAGACAATTCGTGTAAGAGTTCCTGAAAGAGGACAGAGTTTAATACATAGTTTTTTAGTTATAAGCGTAGTTAAAATGGTGAGAATGAGGACAATTGCTTAGGGCAGTGGTTCACACATTTGAGTTTTTGTGTACAAAACTAAACAAAAGACAAACAAAAAACCCAGAACTTGTTTAAAAATTGTTTCCTGGGCCCCACTTATGGAGATTCTAATTCATTCGGTCTGGATTCCAGCCCAAAAAACTTGCAGTTTTAGTATTATCCAAGTGATTACAGCCCAGGTGATCCATAACCACACTTTAAGAAGCCCTTGCCTCAGGAAAATATGTAATTAAGGCAAAAAGAGAGCCAAGAACCAAACCCCTAGAAAAGGTTAACTATGGGGTCAGTGGAAAGGGCCCTAATAAAGGAAAATAAGAAGGAATAAGTAGAAGGAAAAGTGGAAGAAAGTGATGTCACAGAAGCCAAGAGAATAAAGAGACGAAAGAAGAAAGTAGTGTCTCATACACATGTACAATACATAGCCTGCTTACCCTGTCTTAAACAATGTACGTTTATGTCAGTTAGGCCTGAAGGATGCCTTTGCCACTGAAGCCTAGAAAAGATTTTGATTAAATATTGACCGTAGAAGCTAGGCAGTAAGACTTTTCAGTAAAGGGCCAGATAGTAAATATGCTAGGCTTTGCAGACCGTATGATCTCTGTCATGACTACTGAACTTTGCTATTGTAGCACAATACATAAATGAATAGGAATGACCTATTCCAATAAAATAATCTTATGGACAACAGAATTTGAATTTCACATAATTTTCATGTGTCATGAAATATTTTTATTTCCCCCCAACTATGTAATGTAAAGACCATTTTTAACTCAAAACCAGGCAGTTGGCCAGCTCTTGAGCTAGGATGCAGGGTCTGGGGTTTTAAAGTTCACACAGGAGAAGAGATACAACTTTGTTTCCAAACCAGACAAAGAACTGAAATCTCTGAGTAAAGCTAGGAATGTGGAAGGTCTAGCCCCTCAGTGAAAGGACGACAAGAAAAATTCCCTGCCAAGCCAGGGTCCTGATGGGGGGGCTTGATCCCAGGACTCTGGGATCTTGACGGTTAGCCGCTTAACCGACTGAGCCATCCAGGTGCCCTAAGGTCTGGGCTTTTTTTTTTTTTGGTCTCTTTCTTTATTTGTTTTATTTCTGAAATTACATGAGTAAAATCATGTCATGTCTTGTCTTTCTCTGATTTATTTCGCTTAGCATTGTGCCCTCTAGATTCATCCATATTGTTACAAATGGCAGGATTTCCTTCTTTTTTATGGCTGAATAATACGTGTGTGTGTGTGTTCCACATATTCTTTATCCATCTATCTATAGACCGATACATAGAGGTTGCTTTCATATCTTGGCTATTGTAAATAATGCTACAGTAAACATAGGGTTGCATATATCTTTTTGAATTTGTGTTTTCATTTTCTTTGGGTAAATACTCAGTAGTAGAATTAATTAACCATGGTAGTTCTGTGTTTGAGTTTTTGAAGAACCTCCACACTGTGTTCCACAGCCACTGCACTCATTTGTATTGTCACCAGCATGGCCCAAGGGTTTCTTTTTTTCCACATCCTGGCCAACACTTGTTATTTTTGTTTGTTTGTTTGTTTTTAAGATTTATTTATTTGTTTCAGAGAGAGAGTATACATGTCGAGATAGGGGCAGAGGGAGAGAATCTTTCAAGCAGACTCCTCTCAGAGTGGGGAGCCTGATCCAGGGCTCTATCCCATGACGCATGATGTGACTGACCTTAGCTGAAACCAAGAGTCATTTGCTTAACTATCTGAGCCACCCAGATGCCCCTATTTTTTGTGTGTTTTTATTTTAGTCATTCTGACAGGTATAAGGTGGTATCTCATTATGGTTTTGATTTGTATTTCCCTGATGATCACTGATGATGAGCATCTTTTTATGTGTCTGTTGGCCGTTTGTATGTCCTGTTTGGATATGTCTTTTCAGCTCCTCTGCCTATTTTTTAATTGTAGTATTTGTTCTTCTGGTATTGAATTGTATAAGTTCTTGATATATTTTGGTTATTAACCCCTTATTGGATATAATCAATTACAGATATCTTCTTCCATTCAGTAGGTTGCCTTTTTGTTGTGTTGATGGTTTTCTTCGCTGTGCAAAAAGCTTTTTATTTTGGTGTACTCCCAATAGCTTTATTTTGCTTGCATTTCCCTTGCCTGAAGAGACATACCTAGAAAAATGTTTCCACGGCCAATGTCAAAGAACTTGTTTTTTTTAATTTTTAGTTAAAACAAGGCAAGCAAAATGGTGCGGTTGTTTATACCTATCCCTCCTATTTCTCATTCTGTTCTTAGTAACAACTACTTACAACTTCTAATTGTAAGAGGGTTTGGGGGGTTTTTTTGGTATTTACATTTCTAAATAATATAAGTATATATTTCATGACTTTTCTTTTCATTTTAAATGTCATTTTGACTTTTTAAGGTTGACTGCTTAGCTCTCTTACCGCCACTGTCCCCACCCACCCACCCACCCAAGAAGAACATTTTTCCCTTCCTCTGTCCTTCCAGTGTGATTATAGTGTTCTTTTTGGGTGAAGCAGTATTCTGTCCTTGTTAGATGATGTGAACGTTATTTATGACTAAATGACTAAGCTGTGTGGTACACTGAGTTACATTTTGTTTTGGAGCTCTTTGTTCTCTGCACCAGTTTTTTGTTTTTTTTTTTTTTAAAGGTACTTTGTTCTTTTTTGTAGCAGGCAAGATAAATGTGCAGTTAATCCTTGAATAATGTGGGGTTATGACTTTTAACTACCCCAGATTTCACTAGTAAGAGCCTACTGTTGACCAGAATCCTTACCAATAACATAAACAGTTGATGAACACGCACTTTTTTTGTTTGTGTATATATATGTATTTATATATACATATCTGTATATATTATCGTGTGTATATATGTATGTATTATATACTGCATTCTTACAATAAAGAAAGCTAGAGAAAAGAAACTGTTATTTAAAAAATCCTGAGGAGGAGAAAATAGATTTACAGTACTTGTATCTTTAGGAAAAATTCTGTGTATAAGTGGACCTGTACACTTCACACCATGTTCAAAGGTCCGCTGTCTTCTAACTTCCTTTAAAAGGAAGGCTGTTGGAAAGACACTGAGGTTCCTCAGAGACTCTGGGAAAGAGCTGGACAGGCAGGCTGTGGGGGCGGCGAGCAGCAGATGAAGACAGCCAGCCCTCCCTTTGGGCTGTCTCATAGCCTTCCCCTCTACTTGCTTTACTTTGCTTTTCTTCTTTCTTTTCTGTGTACTTACTGCTAATTCCTAAGTAAAATACATTCTTCAGGTATTTTTGTCTGTTTTCTCTTTTTTCCCCTTAGAATCCTTTCCCTTCTGTTTGTTTCCTAAGTGGACTATTTGTTCTCTGTGCCTGCTGGGTAGCTGTCAGCCTTCCCTGCCTGTCTCTCCTGTGGCTCCCCTGTTTCGTGACTCCTCCTAAGAAAAGGCTACATGGGAAGTAGACATTTGAAATCTTGCATCTTTGGAAATGTCTATGTTTCATCCCTTACACTCATTTGTTGATTCTGTTGGATATTGAGTGCTGGTTGGGAATGACTTTACCTTAGGGTTTTGATGCAAGCTCCATTTTTCTTTTCTGGCTTCCTATGTTGCTCCTGAGAGTCTAGTGAAATGCTGTCAGGGCTTTGACCCAGATCTCTATTTCCTCTGCACTACTGGAGGCGCTTCTTTGTATCCCTTGTGTTCTGGGTTTTCAGAATCATGTCTTTACTTGTTGGTTTCTTCATTCATTGTTGGTTTCTTCATTCATTGTGCTGGGCATTCAGGGGGCCCTTCCATCTGGCAAGTCTGTTCTTTAGTCCTGGGAACATGAATCATGTGTTTGATTTCCCCCTCTCTGTATCCTCCCTTCTCCCTTTTCTAGAACATCTGTTGATGATTTTTGTATAATTTTCTTACCTTCCACCCATTTTTCCATTGTTTTCTAATTTCTCTAAGGTATCTTGAGCTTTATCTTGCAGCTGGGTTGTGTTTTTTTGTTTTGTTTTTTTTTTTTAATTTCTGCTGCCAGATTTCTTATGTCTAAGAGTTCCCTGTTCTTTTTTCATAGATGCAGTATTTTTTGTCTGTCAAACCAGTCACCACATATAGGCTTCAAACAGTTAGAGACCATACAAGATAGACTGTGGTTAGATATTGCAATGTTTGATACTGATACTGAGTGCTACAGTAGAAAAGGGTCTAGAGAAAGTGCTGTGTGCCAGGAATACTTGGGACAACTTCGTGGAGAAGGTGGGATAAGATCTGGACCTGGAATATAAGTAAGTTTGGATATGTGAGGAACAGTGAGGTTGAGTGGTAGAAAGAGTGTTGCCTTTGCAAGCAGGCCCAACTGAGTAACTGTGAAGCCTGTGAAGATCCAACCTCTTTGAGCCTCAGTTCCCTCATCTTTCATGGGACCAATAATATTTCCCCCCTAGGGTTGCTGTAAGGAAAGAAGGTATATATTTAACGTGTTTGGAACTTAATAAATATTCTTTATTCTGTAAGTTCCTTGAGTCTAGAAAAAAATCCTCTCCAGCCACACTTCCTAGGAGAATGCTTGCTTCATAGTGGGGACTTAGTATAGCAAGTGAGTAAGGGAATAAATGGATGAGGGAAGGGGAGCACTCCAGTCAGGGGAAATAACCGAAGTAGTGGCAGGCAAGTTAGAAATAAATATGCTACAAGGAAAAAGACTGCTGGGATCCTGACCTGGCTAAAAGGTCTTATATATATGCAAGTATTTGTGGAAATATGCCTGGAAAGCTGGGCCGATACTTTTTGGAGGGGTTGGGTGGGGGGCACTGACACATAGTGTGGGGCCAGTATAAAACATTTAAATTACCAAATTGGGGTTAGAGAGCTTCTGGCTCAGAGAAACTGGGTTCATTCCAGTTGGAAATACGAACATTTGGACAAGGGATATAAGCTCTCTGAACTTGGTGGGGAAATGATCCCAGCTCTGTCTACCCCAGAAGGTGGTAGTAGTCAGGATAAAATGAGCCAGTAGATATAAGTGGGCTTGTGAGTTTGTGGCAAAGTTTCATTGGCTTGGGAAGCAGGTAGAAAAACAGAAACCCTTATTTATTCACATGGCTAAAAAATCAACTGGGCTTTAAATCTTTGAAAGCAATAACTAATAAGCCATGACGACATAGAGTATATTTCACCAAAAAGTATTTCTTCTCTTGCCCTTTTCCTTAATGTGGCTACCTATAATTTTCCTCTGGAATTTTCTCAGTGCTTAGACCTATGATGTCCAGTCCAATAGACACTAGATACCTGAGGCCATTTAAATTGAAATAAGTAAAATTTAAAATTCAGTTCCTCAGTCACTCTAGCCACAAGTCAGTGTTCAGTAGCTGCATGGGCCAGTGGCTACCATTCGATCATTGTAGAAAATTCTCTTGGAGAGCACTGGGCCAGACTATAAAGAATTGTATTATGTGTGTTTATATCGTCTTTAAATATGTACTTTAGAATGGTTGCATGTATTAGTTTTATTCTCTTTGATCTCAATTGATAAAGCAAATAAGTGAAGTTATCTCTTTAAAAACATTATGCTGGGTTTGTTTTTATTTTTGGTTTTTTACCTATTTGGGCCTCAGTTGATTGTTTAGTCTCCTACATCAGTGGTATTGTTTGGGAACAGGTTCCCTAACCTGAGGGAAGTGAATGGATTTTCTTAATTAGGGAAGTAACAGGATGAAGAATATTGAATGATTCAGAGAGCGTCTAGCCTAATTGGAAATGTAATTGATTATGTTTTGCCAGATGTCATTTCAAGAATGTGTTTTCCTTTTAAGATGCTAAAGAAAACCCTTATGGAGAGGATGACAATAAGAGCCCATTTCCCCTGCAGCCCAAAAACAAACGCAGTTATGCTCAGAATGTGACCGTCTGGATCAAACCCAGTGGCCTGCAGGTAACATTACCATTCAAGTTGCTTTCTGCTGGGGACAAGGGGAGGGATTCTGGCAGGCAATTAGACATCTGATTTGATTTTCCTTTCCTTTGATACTTAGTAATTCACTTACTTCTAATGTTTGTCATTATTTCCAAAAAGGATTTGAGGTGGCCTACAGTAAAACACGTATGCAGCAAAATCACTTCTTACAAAATTTAGAGCAGTACAAACCCTAGAGGAAGAGGGGAGACAGTTGCACCGGGAACTCAAGGCGAAATGATTATATTTGAGCAATTTGGCTCCGAGCTTTCTGCTATCAAGGTCAGAAGAGCAACATGTAGGGTTATATATAACCTTTCTTGTCTGACAGAAGGAAGCATGTCAGTTCTAGAGAGACATACTTTCCTGGCATTGAATTTCAGTGTAAAATTTTTGACATGGTGAGGCATTGACGGAATGGGTTTTATCTTTGACAACAGTTTTTTGAGAAGGATATAAAAATCTTCATGGGGTTATTTTTCTGTCCCCACAGTAGAACCCAAGCAATGGCAGTACACCTTAATTCCACAACACTTTTATGGAAAGCTAAGATTACACTATTCTCAAATAAGATTCTCTAATCTTATACACTAAGATTACACTATGCTGCTTTCAGGCAAGCTCAGTGATATTTCTTCCTCCACTGACTTACTGACTTACTTAGGCCACCTGACAAGGGAAATAGCTTCTGTTGATGGCACGGTTTCTTCTTTGCATAGAGACTGGACACACCCTGTCGTGGCTGTGGGGGAGGGGTTTTGTTGGAAAATCAGGTTCTCTCCTGCTATCCCTGACCCCACTACTTCCCTGTCAGAAGGAAAGCTGAATTTTTCTCAAATGACTTTTTAAATTTTGTTTTGTTCTGGATGTATATTTTTTTAATTGTGAAAAACATATAACATCAAAGTCACCATTTCAGCCATTTTAAATTCAGTGGCATTTAGTACAATCATAATGTTATAAAACCATCATCACTATGTAGTTCTAAAACATTTTCCTCACCCCAAGAGGAAACCCTGTACCTGTTAAGCAAGTCACTCTACATTCCTGACTTCTCCAAGTCCTTGGTCACCACTAATCTGCTTTCGGACTTTGGATTCATCCTATTCTAGATATTTCATATAAATAGCAGCATGTAACATGTGACTTTTTGTGTTTGGCTTCCTTCACTTAGCATAATGTTTCATCATTTGACCATGTTATAACATAGAGCAGTACTTCCTTCCTTTGGATTTCATTCAGTTGATGAACATTTGGATTGTTTCCACCTTTTGGCTATTGTGAATAATACTGCTAAGAACATTTGTCAATTTTTTTTTCTTTTGTTGCTATGCTGCTGTTGTCATAATTAAGAAATCGTGACCAGTCCAAGGTCATGAAGACTTATGCCCATGTTTTCTTCCAAAGAGTTTTGTAGTTTTAGCTCTTGCAGTTAGGTCTCTGAACCATTTTGAGTTGGTTTTTTTGTTTTATATGGTGTTAAGTAAGAATCCAGTTTTGTTCTTTGCATGTGGATAGCCAGCTGTCCTGGCACCATTTGTCCAAGAGGCCGTACCTTCCCCCCTTGAATGGTCTTTGCACCCTGGCCAGAAAGCAGCTGGCCATAGATGTATAGGTTTATTGGGTGTATTTTTTGTGAGACAAGTTCATTTCTGTCACTAAGGGATTTATTATCATCAAACATTTTGAAGGAGGGAGGTGCTTTACTAATGTAAAGAACAGTGACATTGACTCAGAGGGATCCTCATCTTGACACTGCACCTCTGTTCCCAATTTCTTTCCTCTAAACATCTAGCGCCATCCTTTTGTATTCTTTCCCCTTTTACCACAGAACCCTAATGCTGAAATATTTTTACCCTTGACAGACAGATGTACAGAAGATTTTAAGAAATGCAAGGAAACTACCTGAAAAAACACAGACATTCTATAAGGTAAGACTGTCAGAATTACAGTGGGAGAGGGGGGTCCCTGGGATGTGTACCAAAAATAAATGATTCACAGCAGTTAGAGTATGGGGTAAAAGAGTGAACATGGACAGGCATGAGAAATGTTTGGTTTGTGCCTCAGTGTTTTCATTGTAAAGTCCATAGAAATGATAGGTCCACTGCTGCCCTAAAAATCCAAGAATTGGAAGTGTTTAAGTGGCCTGATTCTGTGCACAAGGGCTCCTCTGTCTTGATGCTGCTGTGAATGGCTGAGGAAAGGAGTCAAAAGAATCTGTGAGTCAAAGCCCTGAACTCGCCTTACCACTGTCATGAGTATCCAGTCTAACCCTGGACAACCAGGGTGACTTCCTGGGATGATGATCTCCCAAAACATTCTTACGTTACCAGAGAAGCTGCTTCCAGGAATGACTACTAAAATTGTATTTATATGAATTACAAAAGGATGGCCCTCCAGAATCCTGCCTAGCTAATCCAGAGCTATTGGTGGAGGGAATAAATTTATAACCAGTGAGTAGAGTTGGGGGTTCATTTAAGTAAACACCTTGTTTCTTGCCTTTCCATCTGGTGTTTGCTGAAATTAAATTAAGTGGCAGTGTGAGGCACGCTGTGTTGTCAGTTGTAGCCCAGCTACTAATATTTTATGGTGCACATAGCCTACCCCAGGCTAGCATGTCTTCCAGAGAACAGACGGGGCTACTTTGTCTGGGTGTTATCTCATTACTTTTATGTCACTGTTGTCTTCAAACCTAATTATGTGGCAAGCTGGTGAACTCAAGCAAGAGCAACCTTAATCAGAGTTCACAGAGCTGCTCAGCCAGCCATGCCCTCCCTCCCCATGAAGCCCATAGTTCACACAGGCCCTTGATGACCCCCCACACTTGGCTATAGTCCCTTTATCCCCTACAGTCGTCAGCTGTCTATTCAAGAAGGCACACTTGTACTTTGGCCTTCTTCTGAACTTTCCCTTGTTAACAGATGATAGTAGAGAGATGGTCAGAAAGCCCACTTCTCTTTTCTGGCTTTACAGAGTCCCACATATCAGATGTGAAAGGGCCTCTGCCAGGCAACTGCGTGAGCCCCCACAGCGGACATGGAAGAGGTCCTCCTCACTCTACAGATGAGACCACTGAGCCTCAGAGAGGCTACACAAGTGGCCTAGTTGCACTGCTAAGTGGTTGACGGGGCTCTTTGTATTTCTCTGCTTCCATCCACTACCCAACCCTTCTTTTGGTGGCAGTCTTTCAGGTCAGACTTCTTGAATCCTCCAGAGCCTCCTCCAAACATGTTCACTGTTCTTCAGTCTGAGGCCCAGCCAGAGAAGAGGCAGCAGAGGGTTCAGAGTCCTCTGAGGTTTGGGGCTAGCCTCTGCCATGCCTGAGTCATGGGAAAAGTCATCCTCCTGACAGGAGTGAATGAAATGACGTGTGGGAAGTGTCTCACCATGTTTGGTGTAAGCGCTCACCCACTGTGGTGATGACCGCCTGTTTCAGTCGGCCAGTCTGATCGCCAAGAGGAACCTTCTTGGCATGTCCTCACAGTCTCTTGTTACTGGCATCTCTGCACAAGCATTTGTTCTCCTGTAAAAATGCTCACAAGTTCAGGGATCAAGAAAAATGTATTCTAAGTTGAGCATTTAGAAAGTATGTGACAAGTACATTTCAGGAACACTGGTGGGGTTTTTTTGTTTTTTATCTTGTTTCAGGAGCTAAACCGTTTACGAAAGGCTGCCCTGGCATTTGGTTTCCTGGACCTGCTCAAAGGGGTGGCTGACATGCTGGAAAGGGAGTGCACGCTGCTGCCCGACACAGCGCACCCGGACGCCGCCTTCCAGCTGACCCACGCTGCCCAGCAGCTCAAGCTAGCCAGCACCGGCACCTCTGAGTATGCCGGCTACGAGCACAACATCACACCTTTGCATACAGACTTCTCCGGGAGCAGCACTGAAAGAATGTGAAACTGACTTTGGGAGCCTTCCTGCTTTCTTTCATGACAGGTGAAAAGGATTTAGGGTAAAAACTTTCCAGTTTGTTCACCTCTGCAAGAGCTCCCCCTCCCCCCAAGACTTCCCTGAGGTTGCCTCGGAAGCACCACTTGCTGGGCTGTGCTGCTTGGGCTTTGACCTTGGTTTTCTGGAGCTGAGTCTTTAAGCCCCAAAAAACCACTGTTGCTCCCACAGTGAGCACACCTCCTGAGTAACTTAAAGGACTGATGAATACAGAGCTCTCCCCACTTCCTCCTAATCAGCGGGGGTTCTCAGGCTTCCTAAAGGTACCTCCTCTCCTCTCCCAACCTTAGGGACATTTTCCAGCTTCTGTCCTTGGAATGAGCAGCCCAGCTCAGACTGTCTGGGATTTGCTAAATACGAGTCCAACACCATTAAGTTTCAGAACTGTCCTTAGAACTTGGGCAAAAACTTGATGGTAACCCTTTGGTGTAGTGTGTCTTGAGATATAGACTTAAACAGCAGCTATAAATGTATAAAATGATTCCTACTTCTTCAAGTTTTGGCTTTGTTTTGTTTTTTAATGAAAATAAAATACCTGATTTTCTAGAAAATGGATTCATTGGGAAACTAATGGGTCTTTGACTTTTGGTCTGTCCTCTCACCTGGATGTAATTTCAACTTCCTAAGTGGCACAGATTTCATAAGTCCTGAGAGTTCTTGGGTTCCATATGGACTTCTTATTTCTGACACTGGTTAGGTCTCTGCCTCAGCCAGGTTCCACCCTGGTGGATCTGACTGTTCTCTCATCAGTACGGTATCAATTCATTCACTAGCTTCAGGACCTTAGCCAAGTCAGATAACTTCTCCAAGCTTTCTGCCATCAGTGCTTTTCAGATTGCTCTGTGGACTCTGGAGGTTAACCCTCCTGCAGGCTTCACCTCAAGCAACCATTTCACACGCTGAATTTAACATTTCACCATGCAGTGCAGTATATTTTGTCTGAACAAAGGACTTTATCATTAGCAACCTGAAAACCCATCAGACTAAACGATCTTTAAGCACAAGTTGTTAGGATTTTGACTGTAAATGTTTAATAGAAATACACAATGTTTTGCTTTCTCAGATCGCAACAGTTTATAACAATCACTAAGAATACAGGATTCTGCCACAAAGATGCAGCATATACTGCAAAGCTGATCTGTCCAAATAAAGTCAGGTGAAGGAACAGAAGTTAACACAAACAAGTGTTGACAGAAGTTACAAACATGCAAAATACCCTTCAGTGCAATGAACTTATTTAAAAAAAAAAAAAAAAAATCAGCCAGCCTATGCTAATCTGATGTCTTTAGGTCAAACCAAGTTTCCGTATCCGGCTCAGAGAAACAGTGTAACTTACGGAGTCCCTTCTCACCCAAGAACAATAGGAATGGCAGAACAGAATAGAGCTACCATGTTCTTAAATTCTTTTATACAAGCATTACTTCTAACATATATTTTACTTGGTGAAACTGGAATGTTTTAGAGGAAACAATGATATTTTTGACAATGGCCAAACTTTACAATGTCTCCATTTTTCTCAGTTCCTCTGTGGGTGGGTTTCCAGCCAGGAAGCTTTTTCAAGATTCTCTAGCCAAAATTCCCACTTTTTTCGCTCTCCAAGAGCTGACCAGTGAAACAACAAGAGAAGAAAGGCAGCCATTTCTGAGGTCAGTTCCACCAGCCACTCTGACAGGTTTACAAGGTAATGGACTTGGCCAGCACAGAAGAAGGAAGAGAGCCATTTTATGTACGTGCACAGGCTAGGACTGGTCTGCCTGCGCATTTCTTCTGCTTCCTGTTTGCCACAGGCCGCCCTGCCAGCAGCTGTCTCACTAACGGTTTGACCCTTCTGACACCTGTAGCCATTTGGGTTTGGAACGCTTATAATCTCACCGTTTTCTAAACTAACGTTTCATCTTTCTCTAGTGTTGAAGATCATTCTGATTTAGCTAGGAATGAAATAAGTGATCATGGTGTCCCAAGGTTCTTCCTGGTTTCTCTCAGATCATTCTGTGCCTCCTCGGTGTGCACACAGGTAAGCACTGTCATGACAGGTGGTGGTATAAGCCAAAAGATGCTCAGAAGTAATGTGTTCTCTAGTCCCACTCAGACTCAAATATTTTATCAGTGCCACCCCTCAGGGATAGAATGTATAAGGTCCTGCCTGAACAGTGTTTTTGTGTTTTTTTTTTTAAACCCTCCAAGCAACAGCTGAAATGAACAAAGGCCAGCTGTAAGAATGACCAGTATCTGGCAGGGTTAGGGCACTGAAGCAGGACCTCTGGCCCATGTGAAAGCGACTGGACAAGGAGTGCTTGGGGGTAGGGCTGTCTCTTGCTGTCATTAATGGAATATACAAGAACAAACCTGTCCTCAGATACCGGGAATCCATGTCATGCAAGTACTATACTAAGATAATACGGTAAATTCAGGAATGTTACTGGGGGGAAGGGAATATAGCCTCACTGAGAATTTAATCATTTAACTTTAAAAAAACTTTTACATCAGTACAAGAAGGTAAAACTGTAAGAATTATAGATTAGGCTCAAACTGGCAAGAAGTCATCAAGATCTTTTTAGTGGACCTTTTTCTTTTTTTGTCCGTAACGCCGCCTGCGCTGTTTATAAAGGTGACGGAAATTTATGTACAACCCTGAAAAAGAACAAAGCCAATGAGAAAATGGAATCTGTCTCTTTATAACCAGAAGCTCTTGGGACAGGGACAATTTCTAGATGGCTGCTTGTCCTATCCCACGGCACGGTGCTTAATGCAGGGTGCTCGGGAATTACAAGTCTGGCCAAGTTCTCATCAGTGCATTAGAGGCTACTCTTTTTTCCCAGTGGGTTTACTGTTTTATTTTCTCCCATATTCTAATATGAAAATTTTCACATATAAGAAGTAAAGTATTGTTCAGTGGACCAACACTTAGATCTAAACTTAAACTTTTTCTTATATTCACTTTGTCACCTGCTCATTCCCATCTGATTTTTGATGTATTTCACTAAGTTGCAGGAATCCATATACTTCACCCCTAAACATTTCATTAGAGTTCAGTTTTCCTTCATTCTTTCAAGGTAAGATTTACATAAAATGAAATCCATAAATCTGAAGTATAAAACCCCACAATTTTTAATTCAAGGCTACACAATAACATGCATTAAGCAATAGTCTAAAAGGTATGAAACACTTTTCTGGGAAGTAAATTAGAAAATGCAGGATTTCAGTGTCAGAAAAATCTTCCAATCCTGCTTGACCACTAACTAGTTCTGTGGCTTAGCCTCACTCAGTTTCCTCATTGTACAAGAAGGTTAAAAACACCAATTTTACAGACTTAATATGGGAGAATGTATGTTTACAGAAGCACTCTGATCTCTATGCAAATGTAACTGGGTGTAGAACTGCTTCTAAATTACATAAATTTAAGATCTATTTTTAAAGAATAAGAACAACTACATTGTGGGCAAACTAGACAGGAGTATAAAACCTTGTCAATTGGAGTGTATGACAACACAAAGCAAAGCTGGTAGGGTTAATGCACATTAAAATGCTTCTACCCTTCCAGCTTTTCGGGTAAGATATTTTAAGTGTCTTTCCAATACTTAGTCCTCTCTCACCACATTCAGTATTTACACCTCAGGGAGCCTGGCTACAGGAGCACTAGATTTATCCAGTAATAGAAGTAAAGAACTGTCATAATGAGTCCATTTTCCAAACTGAAGCATACTCCCTTCAAGGGCCAAACATTTTCACATACTTTGGTTAGAAATCTTTCTGAAATAAATTATACTTCCTTTAAATAAATTATATTTCCTTTCTGAAATAGAAAAGGAGAAACTGAATAAAATTTAACCTTTGCCCAAAAAATAACTTCGGGCAAATCCTCTATACCCATAATGTATACTATTTAATTGTGTTTCTGCCATGTGCTGGTTCCCTGAGGGGTTCCTAAGGTTGCAGGGCTCTTGTCCCCCAATGCTAAATGAACCAAGCTTTCTAGCTTCTTGGATTTACTTTTTGTGGTTTTCCTCTCACTGGGGTAGCTAGCCTCCCAGATGGTCCCCAGTGATTCTACCTCTTGGTATCTCATGCCCTTGTGTATTCCCTCCCATACTATAACAGGTTGGTCTGTGTAACCAACAGAATACAGCAAAAGTGGTGGTATGTCACCTCTGAGATTACAGGTGACAAAAAGCAGTGCAGACATGATACAGGTACGAGTCCTGTCTACAGTGGTAATCATATTACAGTATATAAGTGAATCAAATCAACATGGTGTACACCTTAAATTTATACAATGTTATATGTCATATTTCTTTAAAAAATAGATGCTTTTTTCAAAGATTTTATTTGTCAAGAGAGAAAGCGCACAAGTAGGGGGAGCATCAGGCAAGGGAGAAGCAGGCTTTCCGCTGAGCAAGAAGCCTGATGTGGAACTTGATTCCAGGATGCCTGGGCCTATAACCTGAGCTGAAGACAGACACTGAACTAACTGAGCCACCCAGGCACCCCTATAGATCCATTTTTTTGAAGGCCAAAAAAGTGTGCTTCTGGCTCTCAAACCACTTGCCTTGGGGGAAGCTGTGTTCCTGAGCAGCCACATGGAGAAATACTGTGGCAAGAAACTGAACCTTCCTGTTCACAGTTACATGAGTGAGCTTGGAGCAGATCCTCTAGCCCTCGTCAAGTGCAGAAACGGCATCCCCCGCCAGACTGACAGCCGGACTGAAACCTCAGGAGGGACTCAGAGCCACTCAGTTAGGCTGCCTTCTGACCCTCAGAAGCTACTTGAGATAGTAAACATTTGTTGTCTTAAGCTACTAAGTTTTGAGGTAACTGGTTACACAGCAATAGATAATTAATAATCTGTTGTCAAACCTTGTTACAAGACCACACAGCCATACTTAGGGCCACCTTAAGATTTTTGTAAACTAAAACAAGAGAATATGTAAATTATATTAAAATGCATTAGAACTGGGGCACCTGGGTGGCTCACTTGGTTAAGCATCTGCCTTCGGCTCAGGTCATGATCTCAGGGTCCTGGAATGGAGCCTCACATCGGGCTCTCTGCTCAGCGGGGAGCCTAAGTCTCCCTCTGCCTGACACTCCCCCTGCTTGTACTCCCTCCCTCCCTGACAAAATCTTTAAAAAAAAAAAAAAAAATACACTGGAACTTTATCTAAAGTAAACAGTCCTTATGATTAGGAAGCTTTTAAATCTCTCATACTTGGAATAATTAGGTTTACTTCTTTCAGTTCTTATTTTTATGAATTAAGGCAACTGATTTTATATAAAAGTAAATTAATATATAAGCTGTTTTTACATGAGGAGTGGGGCCGGAGTGTGTGTGTGGGGGGTTCCTTTCCTATTGTTTGAAGCTTTATGACCTTTCTTGGCTGCTCAGAGACCTTGACTGCCTCCTTCCTTCCTTGCTGGCAGTGGTATTATCACCTCTATAAACTTTGGATAAGGAATATGTCACTGAAACTAGTAAAATTAAAATGTACTTCTTATTCTACCTTTCTTTTTTCTTATTCTACTTTAAAAGAGCTTCTTCTAGGGATGCCTGGGTGGCTCAGTGGGTTAAGCCTCTGCCTTCAGCTCGGGTCATGATCTCAGGATCCTGGGATCAAATCCAGCATTGGGCTCTCTGCTCAGCAGGGAGCCTGCTTCCCCCTCTTCTCTCTGCCTGCCTCTCTGCCTACTTGTGATCTCTCTGTCCATGAATAAATAAAAATCTTAAAAAAAAAAAGCTTCTTCTAAAAAAAAAGAAAGAAAAGCTTCTTACATTGTTTTAAACATGAAATATGGTGAATTCCCAGTGACCAAGAGCACAACCAAGATCCCTCAGTCACTGGCGATTTAGAAGAACTACATATAGCATTTGTGTATGTATCCTCGGAGGGTCTGTTGTAAAAAATTATGTTTCTCTAACTCTGTGTTCCTCTTCTGGAAATAAAAATCCTAACAAAGTCTTCGAAAACTTTGTATCATTTAACTTTGCCCTCTAACAAGTGACCGGAAAAAGTCTTACAGAGCCAGTACTTACCTAAAAATAATAAGATAAGATAAATCTGAAGAAAAAAGGAAAATCTAACTTTGATTTTCACTGGATATGGCAATGTGAAACTGAATCTTCCTGTTTCGTTGAATACTGGAATGGACTGGATCACTGAGACAGCTGAAAGGAGAAACAAGAACCTGTCAGAAGCAAATAAAATACAGTGCCCTCTAGTAAGAGAAGCTTCTACCCTCCAGAGTGTCAGTTCTGGGTGTGCCGAAAATCCTTCCTTCCCGATAGTACAGAGGGGCTGGCTCATGCCTATTCCATTTCTCCCCCTAGTTTTCATAAGCGATGAGCCTCTAAGCTGACAACGAGATGAATAAGAAACACTACTTTTGACAGCACTGAGCTTTAGTTTTCTGTTCTATAAAATGGAGAGAAAAACCCCTACCTGACTCACTAGGTGTAAGAATAAAATGAAATCATTGATAGGAACCTGCTTTGGAAAATTCTAAACACCATTTAAATAGGAAGCATGCGATATATGAATGCCCAGCTTCCAAACCTGATAAAAACAAGCTACTTCCCTGGAATAGTCTGGGTACCAAGAGTATCATAGAAGGAAGCCACTAGAAAGAAATTCTTAAAAAGTCCAACACCTGTATGTCAGACTAAGGCTGGCAGAGGAAGGAAGAAAGCTTTGGCCTATCAGCTTAGCTATCCTTTGGAATTAAGCTTATAAAACCTAGGGTTCTTGAAAGTACCTTCTGCCAAACATCCCAGAGGATACAAGGGAATCCACACAGTGTAACGAAGCCACGTGAGCACCTTCCAATCCATGTCAATGCAGGAAAGCATGTAGAAGGGGTATCTATTGAAAATAAGAAATTCAGATGTGAAAAGCACTTCAGGTCCTGAGTGCAACCTTACAACACCATTCAAGAAGAATAATTTCACACTTAGCCACACATGGCTTCTTCAGAACAGAATTCTAATCCTGGGTTATCTACCCACAAAGTCCCATCACACTCTTCCCCCAATTTTCAATGGATGTGAACTCTCTGACGGTAGACTAAGTTTAGGTCTTATAAGAACCCTCTTTGGAATAGTTCAGCATATGGAATGAATGCTCAAAAGCTCTTTGCCTTTATTACTAGATCTGATCTATGTTCTAAGTAGGTAAGGATGACAGACACATTGACAATTTATCTCTGGATATATGATTATCATCAAAGTAAACAGGGGCCTGCGTGACTCAGTTGGTTAAGTGTCTGACTCTTGATTTCAATTCAGGTCCTGATCTCAGGGTCATGGGATCAAGCCCTACAATTGGGCTCCATGCTGGGCATGAAGCCTGCTTAAGATTCTCTCTCCCTCTGCCCTTCCCCTGCTTGCTCGCGCTCTCTCTCTCAAAAAAAACCAATTTCAGGGTGCCTGGGTGGCTCAGAGGGTTAAGCCTCTGCCTTCGGCTCAGGTCATGATCTCAGTCCTGGGATCGAGCCCCGCACCAGGCTCTCTGTTCCGCAGGGAGCCTGCTTCTGCCTCTCTCTCTGCCTGCCTTCTTGTGATCTCTCTCTCTCTCTGTCAAATAAATAAATAAAATCTTAAAAACAAAAAACAACAACAAAAAAATTTCAAAATTATACAAAAGACCCCTCATCTAGAATTGGACACACGCTATTTAAAAAGCGGTAATAAAAAAATTTTTTCTTCCCAGAGTTAATATTAAGTACTTAAAATCTCTTTCACCTTTGTATTAGTAGATTAGAGGGTATAAGGGATACTACAGAATTCAGACCACAGTTAAGACACAATCTAGGAACAAGACAAAATCAGAGAGGGAGACAAACCGTAAGAGACTCTTAATCTCAGGAAACAAACTGAGGGTTGGGGGGTTGGGGGGAGGAATGGGGTGGCTGGGTGATGTACAGTGGAGAGGGTATGTGCTATGGTGAGTGCTGTGAATTGTATAAGACTGATGAACCACAGACCTGTACCCCTGAAGGAAATAATGTATTGTGTTAATTTAAAAAATTACCTCAAGTCTAGGGCTGCTACTGCGTCTTCTCCCTTTCAACTTAACTTTGCCAAAATATCCCGAAACCTAGAGCTGAGGAGTCATTTTGCAAAACCCCTGCTCCATCTGACCAAAAAAGAAATGGAATATGTATGGTCTTGAGGCAAAGAGTACCTCTACTTTAATTGGATCTTTTTTTAATATTCTATTGACAACTGAGAATAGCAGAATCAGATAAGAGGGTGACTCAAACTTCAGTAATCCCGTAGTCGAGATTTATTTCTATCTTTCCTTCTAGAAGGTTGGTATTCACTAGTTCCAGCCTGACTACCCCTTCAATCCCATGTTTCTTCCCCTTTCAAAATCTTTCCACGTGGATGAGTCCTCTTTCCGACAAGACAGCAGGATCCTGAAGGGTACGCTGGGTCTTCCACCTCTCTGCACCTCTCGACTCCGACTCCCTCTGCTCCCCAGTACCCAGGCTGGTACTATGATTCAAGGATTGCTTTAAAAAAACGTGCCTCACCTTTGCAGAGCACAGAGATGCAGCTAGAGCTCTCTACACATGGAACCCTAATCTCAAACCAAATGAGACTCTGAATAAAACTCCCTCCAGAAAAGAGCAGCCCCAGAGGAAGGAGAAGCATTCAATCCACTATGCTGGCTTTTCTACCCACCTGAAAATTTCAATTGCGCTCCATGAATAAAACACAAAGAAAACCACAGCTTTGTTTTGCATTTCTTCCATGGTGCCAAAGATGATAAACAAAATGAAATTTCTTCCACATAGCTATTAAAAGAACCCAAAAGAGAGGAAAAAGTTTAAAAATATATTCTACAAAAACTGTATAAATGTGTTACCTGAAACTTAGCCCCACTAAATTCAGGGTAAAGAGAAAAAGACTGAAGGGCACCTGGCTGGCTCAGTCAGTGGAGCATGTGACTCTTGATCTCAGGGTCATGAGTTCAAGCCCCACACCAGGGGTAGAGATTAAAAAATTAAAAAATAAAATCTTAAGGGAAAAAAAAAAGCCTGAGCTCATCTAGTGTAAGCCTCTGTTCCAGTTTGGGAACAAGTTGAAGTACCCCAAGCAGTCTTTCTGAATAGACTGTGTATATGTGTGTAAACAGATCACCACGAATAGTTGATTCTCAAAAGCACTCACACACACTCAAACACAGTGTAAAGAGCACTGCCAAATGCACATTTGTGTCTGCGTAAGCCGGGTAAACAACCAGAACATTACCAGTGTGGCAGCGCCCATAAGTAACTACTACCTTGGGTTAACCATTCCATTGCTTCTCTTTATAGGTTTCCTGCTTATGTACATATTTCTAAATAGTACAGTGTTTCACTTTGCCTGTTTTTAAACTTTCTGAAATACAACGTAGTAATCTGTGACTTGTTTCTACTCCGCGTTCTGCTTCCGAGCCGCAGCCGTGGTGGCGCGTGCCCAACTCCCGGGGGCTGCGCTCACACTGAATTCTCCACGAACAGCACTCCTGAACGCCTCCCTTCCATCGTAACCTAGAAATTCCAGCCTCATGCTTATCTGCACTAGTCCTTGACATACAAAAAGTATTATTCCACATCAGTGGGTCCCTCACTATCCTCTTATTTTATAGACTGAACAAAAGCGGCTTCTCTCCAAGAATAGAAAACCCAGGAGTAACAAGGCTATTGGATTAAAACCCTTTACCCTGCAACTGCTACTATCAGTATGCCAGGGCCGGTACACCAGGAAGGTGTAGAACTATAGAAATAGGACTCCAGAAGAGACTAACCAGAAATCACCTGTTGCCTCCAGAGTCAGCAGTGGGGGCTGTATTTAATAGTATATAATTACACAGGAAATACAGCAAGGAAGTTAAGACTCTGATGCCCCGGGGTGCCTGGGAGGCTCAGTGGGTTAAAGCCTCTGCCTTCAACTCAGGTCATGATCCCAGGGTCCTGGGATCAAGCCCCGCATCGGGCTCTCTGCTCAGCAGGGAGCCTGCTTCCCTTCCTCGCTCTCTGCCTGCCTCTCTGCCTACTTGTGATCTCTGTCAAATAAATAAATAAAATCTTAAAAAAAAAAAAAAAAAAAAGACTCTGATGCCCCATTCCTGATAGCAATCTTCCAAACATGAAGAAACAACATAGACATATCAAGGGGAGGGGGAATCCCCACACCAATCAAAAGAGTCCCTGTCATATACGGAAGAAAGTCCAAAGTGAAAAGAGCTCCTAGGATTGCACTGCCTTCACCTACCCAAGTTGGGAGGAAACCAAGCACATCACTACCTAAGAAGACTATGGGTAAGTTTTTCTGCTCCTGCTTGAGAATCAAGTTTCCCTAGTTTTAAAACCTTTTATAACTTTGTGATTTCATGAAGATATTATAAACAAACCAGACCTGAAATGGCAAAAGTCTACTCTGGAAAATATCCTTGGGCTTAAAAGTTTTCCTACTCTTTCAGATAAAATAATGCTATTTCTGTGCAAAGAGATTTTTACTCATTGTAACTTCTCACCGAAGTGTGCCATACCTACTAAATACTGAAATCTGAGGTCAACTGTTTCGTACCTGGATAAGAGAAGGCATCACGGGTGACTTAGTGACACCAATTGCTGCATTGATCATTTCCACAGCTGACAGCATCTGGCAGAAATACATCATGTCGGCCAAGGTGTGGAATGTATCATAGAAGGACTCTATGGGACAAATACACAGTAAGGGTAAATCAGGAGGCAAATTCCAAAAGGATTATTTCTCAAACTAGATACCTATTTGCATGAAAGGAATTTAAGGAAAAGTATAATAAACAGCCATTCAGATTCAAATTTACTATCCAAACTAAGCTGGAGGGGAACAAACCTGTGAGGTCATGAATAGTAAACTCTACTGGTTATGTATGTCCTTCTCATTTTAAAAGGCAAGAAAAGGCGTGCCTGAGTGGCTCAATTGGTTAAGTTCTGCTTTCAGCTCAGGCCATGATCTCAGGGTCCTGGGATAGAGGCCTGCACCAGGCTCCCTGCTCAGCGGAAAGCCTGCTTGTCCCTCTCCCGCTCCCCCTGCTTATGCTCTCTCTCCCTTGTTCTCTGTCAAATAGATAAAATCCTTAAAAAATAGTAATACTAATAATAAAATGCAAGAAAGGCTAATAATAAAATGCAAGAAAGGCTATTATAAGCTGAAAAATCTATGTATCAGGCATGGTGAGAAGTCAGATCCATTATTTAATTTAAACTACAGCACATACATTGAATGCAATCTAGCCTTTTAAAATCTCAAAATCATACAACCATAAATAAATGCAGAGGTGCAAAAGTACCGAGTAAAACAAACTTTCAAAAACCATACTGGCGTTTACATGTTTCATACTAGTTTTCTTATTCTAAGAATCTATCCTAACTAAAAAATCTAAAACAAAAAAAAGTTTCTTAGGAACAACGTTGCTCTCTGAAACATTTTTCCTAAGTACATTAAAGTAGAAACAGTCTAAATGCCTAAGCGTATGTAAAGTTTGAATAAACTATAATAAGTCCTCTTCACGGACTATTATGTAGTAATTTAAAATGATAGTTATTGCTTATAGAACAACAGCAAATGCTGTATCAGTTCTGAGCAGACCATAATATAAAATCCTTTACTTTTCATACTGATCCTTACTTGACATCCTGCCTTCCTACATGCTTCTTTGCCATGTTTCTCAACCATGGTACTACTGACAATTCTTGGGCCTACATGGTGCACTAGGTTTAGGATTCCTGAGTCCTTGCCTATTAGACAAAGGAGTGCCTCCAAGGATCTGGCACAGTTTGACCAGTGACCACCAAAGATGGCGTTTGTAGGAGGCTCAAAAGAGTACAGTTTAAACATCAGCTTAGGGGCACCTGGGTGGCTCAGTCAGTTAAGCCTCTGCCTTCAGCTCTCTGTGCTCAGTCTGCTTCTCCCTCTCTATCTGCTGCTCCCCCTACTTGTACTCTCTCTCAAATAAATAAAATACTTTTTTAAAAAATTTGCCATTTACCAACACCCTTCATTCAAAAGGAGAAAACTTCAAAGGGCAAACTGGGTGCCATACGCCAGGTTCTTACCATGTCTCTGACGCCTGATAAGGGAAGAAATAAACCAGCAGCTCCATTCTAGAAGGTGGCTGGTAAAGGGCTGAGAGCCAAAATAGAAATGACAAATCCAAGCAGCTTAAACACATGACCCAGATAACTTAGGAGCTTTTAGAGTAGATCACCTAATGGCCTGCAGGCTTGCACAGGAATAACAGTCAATCTAACGATGTTAAATTAGATGATTGGGTGTTTGCACGTCCCTGTTCGTTCCATGAGACTTGTGATCAATCCACAGTAAGAAAAACCGCAGGTCTGAGACTTGCCTCCTTTTTTCAAGTAACTCATCTATAGGCCTTTGGTCACATGAGACTCTAAGACAGAAGGCATTTGTGAAGTCTTCACTAGCCTGCCGCTGTGCTTTGCAGAATTCTAAGGTCTTAAGAAGGCTGGAAAGACAACATGCACTTCTTTGAAATGATTCTAGAGCTAATGACAATTCACCCACTACAAACCCCTCAGATGGGAAAATTTAGGGCTAAAAAAAAAAAAACAGACTATAGGATTTTTTTCCCTTTTTGTAAACAGAGCTTCTATTTTCCATTATACTGATATTTTTCCTATTTCTTCTACAAAATAGGGACAAATTTTTAAACTGTCCACATCCAAACCATTTTCAGATGGTACATTCCTTCCAATCTTTTTGCATGTACTGGTTCAGTACTTTCCCCATTTTATATAATGTGATGTAACTGGAAGAACGAATTTATACTTTACTTTTGTGGCCTGTCGTATTTCTCCATGTTACTATAAACTCTTTAAATATTTTCTATCTGCTTCACAACATTCCACTGAATGAATATTCTAAAGTAAATCCTCATTGATGGGCATCTAGGCAGATTCTAAATTGCCACTAATCTAAACAATGCCATAGTGTATACCTTCTGAAAAAGCTTTTTTTGTAGTTTCGGTGATTTCTTTAGAATGCGCTTCCCGAAGTGAAATAAGCAGGCTCAAGGATATGAACAGTCAGATGTCTTGATGAGCTTTGCCAAGTGATTTAACAAAAGAGCTGTGCTCATGCCCTTTCCAGTAGCCACTGGTGTGTCTACTTTAGCATATGTCCTCTTAAATTAGTTATCTTTTTTAACTTTGCAAAACTGACGAAATCGTATTTTTATTTCCTTCATCATTATTGAGTTAAACATTTTTTTATATATAAATTGGTTTTACTCCCTCTTAGGAACTACCTGCACATGACTTCTATTTATCTATTCCATGGGATCTAGATGTTTTTAGATCAATTTGTAACAAATTCTTTATATGTAATCAACCCCTGCTAGTGTCTGTTGCAATTTTCCACCAACTCCATCCCCATGCTACTAACCTTCATATACTTTTAATCCGAGTGTTGTCTTAGTGGGGTATTTTTAGATATACAGGAATTTACATATTTTATTGTAGTCAAATATATTGACTTTATTCTTTATGACTTCTTCTCTTTTAAGCTTAGAAAGTCCTAACTTGGGGCGCCTGGGTGGCTCAGTGGGTAAAGCCTCTGCCTTCTGCTCAGGTCATGATCTCAGGGTCCTGGGATCGAGCCCCGCATTGGGCTCTCTGCTCAGCGGGGAGCCTGCTTCCTCCTCTCTCTGCCTGCTTGTGATCTCTGTCAAATAAATAAAATCTTTAAATAAATTAAAAAAAAAAAAAAGAAAGTCCTAACTTTCCAAATGAGATTTTTATAAACATTTACTTATATCTTGTTATGTTTTAAATTTTTGATATAGGACTCTTAAATCTTTTGGGGGGAATTTATTTTTGTACACAGTGTGAGGAAAAGAGTCCAAGAGAATCCTTGCCTCCTTCATGCACCCAAACCTAACATATTTTCCCTGGAAACATTATTAGAATTCCCATCCAATAAAAAAGTATTGGATATTTCCCTTTCCACTGACTCATGATTCCTTTTATATTGCATATATAATTGTGAGATACATATATATAATGTAAAAGATATTTCTGGACCACCTAATCTGCTCTATTGATATTCTCTTCTTATACTAATCCTGTATTATTTTAATTATCATTCTTTCATACCAGACAAAGTGCTCCCTCATTACCCTTTCTTCCCACAAATTTTATTACCGATTTATTGTTTATAATACAACTTCAAAATACTTTAGATCACATCCTCAAAATTTTTCCATTGTCATTTATTTTATGTCAGAATTCTGTTAAATATACAGTTCAAAAAACATACACACAAATTAATGTATCAAGAACAAATATCTTGGGGCGCCTGAACGGCTCAGTGGGTTAAGCCTCTGCCTTCGGCTCAGGTCACGACCCCAGGGTCCTGGGATTGAGCCCTACATCCATCTCCCTGCTCAGTGAGGAGTCTGTTTCCTCCCTCTCCCTCTGCCTGTCACTCCCCCTGCTCACGCTCTCCCTCTGCCTGTCACTCCCCCTGCTCGTGCTCTCTCTCTGTGTCAAATAAATAAATAAATAATCGAAAGCAAGAAAACTAGTGTTGAGATTTTGTGCTTGCCTTTCCCCAAAATAAAGAACCGCACGGTCATGTTGACAAAGATCCAGGAGAATCCCAAGAACTGCACGAGATTGTACATGAACAGGTATCCTTTCTTCAAGCTTGTAAGAGCTGAAAAGCAAAGCAAGACAGGAAACTATTACAAGCTGAGCTGCAACAGACAGGTGCGGGGACAGACCTGGTTGACTCCATCCCTCTCTCCCATTGCGTGCCCTGAGCTCCCAGACATCTGGCCCAGATGTGCACCAGCCTAGGCTCGTAGGCCCAAAGAGAAAAGGGTAAGGTACAGTTATGGACACTGCACTCTGAGGTATGTCTTTAGCAGTCTTTCCCCTCACGGCCTTGAAGGGCTAAGTGTACAGATATTATAAATCCAAGGAGAAAAATTACTTCCGCCAGGGAGTGACTGATCATTGTACGAGGCATTAAAGAAGGGAGATAAAGCTACACCCTGCTCCTGCTCTTGTCATTTTCATATAATCTACAGTTCCTTCGTTCCCACAATTTTTTAACGTCATGTAGGTCAAACTAGCTCAAAGAAATAGAAATGTAACAAAAAAAGAATTTTGACAGTCGATCATATATGCATCCAACCAAGGATCAACTGAACACCCAGAAGCTGTGAGGTCCTGAGGGGCTCTAGTGGGATTCGAAGATGTTGAGAATTGATGTCACCCCCAATCTGAAAGCCATAACACAAGGGAGAGAGTAACAGGTGGTGTCTTGTGAAACCCTCAAGGTGAGAAAATCGCATTCGGCTGGGGAAGTGGGAAGCAGGCAAGTCTGCAAGGCTGCATGTCACAGCACCTGCACTGTGCTTTGGAAGATGGGTAGAATGAGGACATAAGCAAAGAAGGAAAAGTATAGCCTGAAAGGCAGGAGGATAAGGAATGTTAATTTTGTCTGCAGCCTAAGGCTGAGGAAGACACAGCCAATTACAGAGTTAAAGGAATAAGGAGCTTAGAGTCATGTCTGAGTCAAACGAGTGGGGCAAAGGAAAGGATAATTCTCAAGAGAAGAGCTATGGAGCTCAGATCTTGCTGCTCCATATTTACTCCAAGGCAACAGACATTCTGCATGTAAGCCTTGGCAGATGCTCAAATAATCATGCTAAATAGGGTGGTCAGGGGCACCTGGGTGGCTCAGTGGGTTAAACCTCTGCCTTCAACTCAGGTCATGATCCCAGTGTCCTGGAATCGAGCCCTACATTGTGCTCCCTGCTCAGCGGGGAGCCTGCTTCCCCCCTCTTTCTGCCTGCCTCTCTGCCTACTTGTAATCTCTGTCTGCCAAATAAATAAATAAAATCTTTAAAAAAAAAATAGGTTGGTGAATCAAAAGCAACCTAGTTCTAAGGAGCCAAAAGAGTCAGCCTCTTTGCAAAATTTAACTAAAATGTTTTCTTCAAAACTACAAAAATGTAGGGACACCTGGGTGGCTCAGTCGGTTAAGCGTCTGCCTTCAGCTCAGGTCATGATCCCAGGGTCCTCAGATCAAGCCCCAAATCAGGCTCCCTGCTTGGCAGGAGCCTGCTTCTCCCTCTGCCCCTCCTCTGCTCATGCTCTATCAAATAAATAAATAATTTTTTAAAAACCTACAATAATGTATTAGACTTTGCCATCCTCAAGAGCTCATTTCATCAGGAAACTTCATGAATTGAGATAAAACAGTAAAAGCCTTAGATCTAACATCCTAAAAATCCATACGTAAGAATTTTTACATTTGAAGTTTATCCCTTTAAACCCCCTCCAAAATTAACTTAAATTTCAAATAATTTTCAAGCTCAAAATTGATTTTAATCTCAAATCTTAATTCTTTGCCTCCACCTAACGTTGCCCCTTCTTTGTTCTTCTAAAGGAATATTCCTCTCCATTAGTGGTTATTCAATCTTTTTCTAGAGCAATGAAACCTCCTTTTCAAAACGAACTTTATTCAGAACCTGACATATAAGACACAGAAGCAGAACTTCTCTGGGTTGAAGTGGACACGCTTGCTTGGCCTGTCCCTCCAAAGCATCCCTGGGAGCCATGGGACATAGTTCGACAACAGCCACTCTAAAACTTTCCCCTTCCTTCCTTCCGGTATGCCACATAAGGGCCCCTAAAACTTGCAAATATATAGACTCATGAGAAACCTTGGTTTTATTTTGCTTTTCCGCAGTCATTTTATATAGTCTTTCACAGTCCTCACCCCAGAACGGATACTCTTAGAGAGCCCGTGCCCTGCCAAGTTCACTGGCTTGCCCTTGGCTTCCACCCAGCAGGAAAGGAGCTAAGAGCTGCCGCATCTCATTGCTATCGCCCAGAAGACAATACACTTACAGAGCTTCTCACTTCTCAGCAGTTGGACAGAGAGAAATAGAAACAGAGTTTCTGAGGTTGAGAACCACACTCATCTGGGAGAAAAAGACCAAGCCAGAGGAAATGTAGCCTTGGGCCTACGTGGTGTTTCCACGTGTCTAGGCAGGGCCTGCTCCCACGACACTGGGCCAGTCCAGGGGACTAAGGCTCTTCCCCTTCTGCTAGACCAGCTTTGGTGCCCTCAGATGATGTCAGGCTCCAAAGAGAAGGGAAACACTAGGAAAAATGAAGGCTTCTGATGTGGGTGTGCAGAGTAAGCCCTGGCCATTAAGGAGTCCTCAGCACCTCAAACACGTCATTCTTAGCTCTCCTGCCGCATCGCACCCCTCCGCACCCCCATCTCTGTTGCTGGCTAACTGTAACTACCACAGCAGCGGGGGCAACTTACTTTCAGGAGAGCCTTGGCTTTCAATTCTTAGTTTATTTAGGCGTTCTTCTTCCTAGAATTTGGACAGAAGTTTTCCAAGAACACAGGTTAGAATTCCCAGATGCTTGCAAAAGTCCACGTGCTGGGCAAGTGACCTGACTTCCCCAAAGCCACCAATTGTGTTCACGTGTCACTGGGGCAAACGTCCTAGCTCATGGTGCCCACAAGCCTGACCCCTCCTTGACCAGGGAGCCCCAGCACCATAGAATGTCCATCCAGTGCTCAAGAGAATTCAACCAATCAGCTGTCTTCCAAACTACAACGTGGAGAGTCTCAGAATCTTGGAGCTGGAAAAGACCTCCAGAAGATGTGTCATGGTTGTAAAAACAAAACAGAATTTTAGGGAAGGAACCAGATTGCTTTTTTTTTTTTTTTAAGACTTCTAGATTTTTAGCATAATTTTTCCAGAAGCTAAAATCATGTCTCCAACATCAGTTAAGAACTAACATTAGGTCAATACAGATACAGATGCATACATACAGAAATATTTATAGGTAGGGGCAGGGTATGAATGGGCTAGTCTGCACACATACAGTTCCTCACTCTGTCACCTGAGAGGATCTAGAAATAATATCTAGAGCCCAGATCTTGGTTTCCACTATGACTCTCCAATAAAAAGAACAGAACTCCTTGAAGAATGGCTGACTCTAGGGCTGGAGCAGGGAATCCACAAGATAAGCCTGCAGCAGCTTATAGTGACAGAAATTAAGGATATTAAAAAAAAAAAAAAAAAGCCCTACAATGACGGAGCTTTGTCAAAAAGGCAGAAGAGCCAACTGAAAGAGCTTCCAATGTCCAAAGCTAAAACAACATGAACAACAAAATAAATATGAATAACAGAGTACTGGATTATAAACCAAACTATAAAACAAATATTCATCAGTCCATGTGGATATAAATCAATGACTGAATAAATAAATGGAAGAGAACAGACAAATCTCCTATACAGAAGAATTCCAAATGAAGTATTTGGATATTCCACAGTAAGGATGGGAAGCATAACTCCCCACTCCTTAAGCACGGGCTGGACATAGTGAGTCACAGTGAAGAAAGGCAGGGGGAGTTACACTGCAACAGAGAAACCGGACAAACATTCCCTCAGCCAGATTACCAAGATAAGCACCAACAGTGCTAAGTTGTCCTGACAGTGTATAACCATGATGTGACACAGTAAGAATGAAACCTCTGTGGTTGTCCTCCCCGAAATCCCATCACCCTCTCTAAATTGTAAGAAAAACATTCAACAAATCCCAGTTGAGGGACAGTCTACAAAACATATGACCAGTACTTCTATAAAACCATGTTTCCAGGGCAGCTGGGTGGCTGAGTCGGTTAAGCATCTGCCTTCGGCTCGGGTCATGATCCCAGGGTCCCCACATCAAGCTCCCTGCTCAGAGGAGAGTCCACTTCTCCCACTCTTTCTCCCTCTGCCCCTTCCCCTGCACATGCCCTCTCACACGTGCATGTGCACTCTCTGTCAAATAAATAAAATCTTAAAAACAAACAAAAAAATTTTTTCCAGGTCTTTAACTGAATTTGCAATGTTGTCTTTATTCTATCACACCCAGATAGGTATCTGAGGTGGCCCAAATAACTTCCAAATAAGTTGTGCTCCTTATGATTTGTCTAGACCGGGCAGTTCTTACTGACCTTGGCTCTGAGCTCCATTTCTGCATCAGACTCGTCCAGCCAGCGATCGAAGTCAGGAGCCAAAAACAGTGGGCGTTTCTCCTGCTTAGTGAGTCTCTCCCACCACTGACTGACCTTCTTCTGTACTGTAATGTTTACCTGCCTCTGGGTCAGTTTGTAAACCGGCTAGAAAAAAAAGTGAGAATGTGAGAATGCCCTCTCCTTCCTGTCCCCGACTCCTTCCACAGCGCCAAGCCAGGCTGGCTACACAGAGGCGCCGCAGGGCATGCTCGTTCCCCTTTCTTCTCTGTTCCTATAAGGAGTGATGCAAAGAGAACCTCCATACCAAGGGCTGGCGCAGCAAAGTACTGGTACGAACAGCGCGGTATTTCTCCGATCCTCCACTGAAGGGCACAGGAGGAAATCAGGGTAAGACAGACAGATAGTTCTGGTTCTAGATGAACCTCCCGCCAGATCTCTACAATGCCTGGCACGGCATCCAATCACTCTCAGTACATCCTCACCTTCCAAATCTTCCCATGAAGACGACTGAATTTGAGCGGTCAGTAGGCCCCGGCATAGCGAGCCCTTGTTTTGGAAAGGTCTCGCCAAGGCTGGAATTTACTGGATCAGTTACAACTCTATCACAAGGGATAGCCTAGAACAACCTCCCAGCTAAGCTCAAATTCTCAGAGGCTGTTCCAGTTCATTCTTCTTCTACATGGCCTCTTCCTCTGCCTCTAAAGCAAGCCCCATGACAGGTTCTCTACCCCTTAAACCACTGCTGACTATTAAACCAATCGAAACAACGGAGCCCTCCTGCCCAGAGAGATCAGTATGCTCAAGCCCCGAGAGAGAAGAGTGTAATTCCAGAACGCGAAACACACCTCCTAGTAGATTCTCCCTCTTCCTGGCATAAAAGTTTCCCTTGAGCTCTGCGAGAAAGGAAACTTCAACGGTATTTCCTGCATTCTTTCTAAAGGTCTGCTGCCTCCACCTTTTCTGACTTCCACTGCCCCTGAAGCAAAGTCACATGAAAGCAAGCCCCTGGCATGGGCCTCACCTGCCTTATGTAACTCTGCTCCCTGCCACAGACATACTCCTTTGTCTTCACTAACACCAGAGAGTATCAGGGCTGGAAAGGCCCCTGAGGATTTATTAGTCCAACCCTTCATTTCATGAGGAACACAAGGAAACTCACCACAGAAGTGAAGAGAATTGTTCACACTGTTAGCAAACAGCAGGCAGAGGCCAGATTCTCCTCGGGCCCTCTGACTTTCGCACTCCTCTGCAGCTAAACTCAGGACTCAGTTCCCAATAAAAAGAACTATATTCTCCTTTGGTTTTTGTCTTTTTTTTTTCCCCACAACCTCTATCCCCCTATTTCACTAAACCACTCATATTTATTTCCTAAAATGTAAAGGGAAGTAAGAAAAGAAAGGACATACCTCTGGTTTCACAAGGTCTAAGAACTCCAAGTGAAATTCATAAACGTTGTCTCCTTTGGCACCGTGTCCCTGAGCTACAAAGAAAGAAATGTAAGTTGAAGTGAACTGGAGGGCAAGGCCATCGAAGAGCTTGGCGCAGTTCGTTCTGAGGCGTACGAACAGTAATGCGTCCTGCCCAAACCAGCGGGGGCCTATGAGCAGAGCTACTCAGACAACTGGATAAGCTGAATCCCGGACAAAAGTTTATCTCTGTATGTCCTTCTGACGATCAGTTCCAGAATAATTTACTTCATCTCCCAATGTGGCCTTGTTAGCAAGCAAGTTCAAATAATAGGCAGGAAAAAGAATACTGAAAGCAAAGCCAAAGGTATCACAGAGCTATAAATTTAACTTTCGCGTTTACTTTGGCACTGAATCCAGGGCAGAGACATAGCAGGTAGGTGTGTTAGCTTGACTGCGGCTAAGGAAAGTTGCAGGGTATATGGAAACGCTGGACTGCCTCAAAGAAAGCTATGAATCTAACAGCTCCCAACCAGGGACAGAAAATGAAGAAGCTGACTTCCCCTTTAATACATCCTGAATGGAGTGAAAAAGAGAAATATATCTAATTTCCTCAGCTCGTTCCTAAGAGAGCATAAATGGACTGGGTTGACCGTTATGCCCTTCCCCTGCCTTGACATGGCTCGTTTCCCCACAACAAAGAGGTGCCATGCCTAGGTGCCAAGGACGGCTGGACATCCCTTCTCCTCTAACTCTCTGACTTACCCATTATTTGGTTCCCTCCTGGGATTCTCTTTCCTCACATATGGTATAGTTTGCCTAGTATCTGCTCCGGGTGGCTATTGTTCTCTAAGACCATAAATTCCTTAAGGTCCAGCAGTCAGTCCATAACCTCCGAGTGGCAAGGTACACGTCCATCACTTAACTGAAAAAAATCTAAGCTGCTACCACAACTGCTCTTGAAAAGCAGATACAAGGGCGCCTGGGTGGCTCAGTGGGTTAAAGCCTCTGCCTTCGGCTCAGGTCATGATCTCAGGGTCCTGGGATCGAGCCCCGCATCGCATTGGGCTCTCTGCTCTGCAGGGAGCCTGCTTTCTCCTTTCTCTCTCTGGCTGCCTCTCTGCCTACTTGTGATCTCGGTCTGTCAAATAAATAAATAAAATATTAAAAAAAAAAAGAAAAGAAAAGAAAAGAAAAGAAAAGCAGATACAAAAGCCAGGTTGCACTTTCGTGCAAGCATGTGAAGGTAGATGGAACCTCCAGTAACGCAGAAATTCATCAATATCCCCTACGCTGCCCCCCACCCCAGTCACTTACTAATGACACTCCAAGGACCGAGGACAAAGAGAGAGTATAGGGAGAATCCCACCCCAATGGGTGACAAGGAATCCAGACCTCCCCTCAGGCACAGCAGTGTATCTGCTGACAAACCAAGGAGAAAGGAGACGGCGGCAGATTCACAGAATCAAAGACTGTCAGAGCTGCAAAAGCTTTAGGTATCATCTAGAATCTTAAACTGGCCAGTGAGCGCGGCCTCAGAGAGCTGCAAAGTCTCATTAAGAAAATTTCGGTTTTTTGTTTCGATTATAATCTTAAAAAAAAAAAAAAATGGAAGTGTATTCTGGATCCTCTAGATGGCTACCTTATAATCAAGTACAAACACACAAGTTTAGAGGCCATGTTTGCAGCTGTGCTCCCAGCTGCAACAGAGCCAAGTATCACTTCAAGTGGCCATATTTCAATCTTCACATGTTTTCTCAAAAACTGGGGTCCATGGATCCTTAGGACATTTTCTCAGGTGTCCAAAGGTCTTAAAATTTGAGAAATACAGATTATAACCAAACGCTTTCCTTTTATAAGTCCAGAGAAGTCAGCAAGTGGTCCAAGGACAGCAGAATTAGCGCTAGAAGAGAGATGTCCTGATTTCCAGCCCAGGATTCTTTCTCACTCTATCTCCTGCCTCCCCAAGAGGAAAGCAGGACTTCTAAGTCCTAATAAGTTCTTTGCCTTTCCTAATCATATGTTTATAAAACAATCTAGTTTACCCCAAGAGCAGCAGAGAGGTGAGCATCAATAGAAAGTGAATAAAACAAATAGATACAAAGAAAAAGAAACCACCACCATGCCTCTTTAGCTGTGTAGAGAGCTGGCAGCACTTGCCCGGATACTGACCTTTGAAATGCAGCACATTTTCAGTGATGCTGATGGCAGGATTCTGTGAAAAGAGACCAAGGATGCGAGAAGGGCATTTTAATAGGAGAAAAATGAAATTAAAACCGGGGCTCACTTCCCTCCATCCTTCCCCCTTAGGGAATCGGCCTCCTACCTGTGCCTCCCCCAGAAAATATATTTAGTTGTTTATGCACAGCTCTGAGCGGGGTTTTGCTACATCTAGCTGTACCCATCTGAGACTCTAGGCATCTGTAAGAATAACCCTAAGCTATTCTAACTGTGCAGAACAATTAGATACTGAGTCAGTCCGTTCCCATAATGGCAAATGGTACAAAGGTGCTACAGGGGGTGTTTCCGAGGAGGACCCAGATCTCTACGACTCAGCCCCAGAGCTGTGGAGGCAGAGAGTCTAGTGGGACAGATGATGAGTCATTTCCTGTCAGAAGATCTCAAATAGTACAAGTAACATATGCTCAAGACCAAAAGAGTAGTAAAAAGCAGTTAAGTGTTGTAAGTGTTAAAAGAGCAAGCACAACAAGAACAGGATGGCTGAGGAGAGGTTCACCCAAAGTGAGACCTATAAGGCCGCAGAAGGGCTGACGATCACAAGGGATTTCACTCGAAATGAAACATGCAGTGCCCTCACCTCAGGCTCCATCCTCTTAACCCCCATCCCAACCAACACTAAAGAGATCCAAATTCTCCAGACTGTTCACTTATTCCCAGAAATTGCTACATGACTTTAAGAGCATAATTTAGAGTATAACTACTTAGCTCTCTTTTCAATGGATGAGAAAGGACTCCCCTCCTACCTCACAGCTCAAAGTTAATAAGCAAGGAGCAGCATGTTTCCAGTGCTGTGATTAATTCATTTGTTTTTCTCCTGCAGGCTCAGCTCTCTGTGCTCCAACATGCATGGAAGGAAACCAACAAATGACGGAGAGAAGATTGGAGAGGGGGTATAACAATGGGGAGAGGGGGCCTGCATTCTCTATTCACAGTCAAGAGTGCCAGGAAAAGGGAAAGAATGAAGGCTGGCGGGGAGGGGAGCATTTGAGCCAAGCTTTATGTTGAGAACCTCCCTAGGGGGAGTACAGACTTCAGGCTGAGATGCTCAGCCAAAGGAGCTAAAATTCTAGATGATCCTCTCTGTGGCAGGAAGAGGGAGTTAGGGAACCTCAACAAAAGAGGTTACACTTCCAAGGGCATGGTTCCTCAGTAAGGGAAACAGGGTTTTGATGCAAATATTTTCATTAAAGCTAAAGTTCTAGAACATCTTGGAGGTAAGGTTCCCACCCAGGTCACTTCTTGCCCAACTCAGTGTGTTTCCCATACTCTAAATCACTTGGAAGGAAAAAGGAATGAAATTGAATCGGTAGTCAAACTTCTGACAGACAAAAGTCTTGGACCAGATGGCTTCACAGGTAAATTCTACTGAACATTTAAAGACAAGTTTAAACCCATCTTTCTCAAACTGTTAAAAAAAAAAAGTGAGGACTTAGGAATACTTCCAAACCTATCCCATGAGGCCAGCATTACCCTGATACCAAAACCAGACAGACACTAGAAATGAACAAACAAACCAAAAAACCCGATCCCCACCCCCACAAAAAAACACAGACCAATATCGCTAATGAACACAGAAGCAAAAATCTTCAACAAAATATTAGTGAACTGAGGGGTGCTGGGGTAGCTCAGTTAAGCACCCGCCTTCAGCTCAGGCATGGTCCTAAGGTCCCAGGATAGAGCCCCACATCACATCAGGCTCCCTGTTCAGCACCTGCATCTTCAACTCCCTCTGCCCCTCCCCGGGGCTGTGCACCATTTCTCAAAACTTTAGAAAAAATATTAGCGAACTGAATTCAACAATACTAAAGGATCACACACCATAATCAAGTGAGATTATTCCAGAGATGCAAAGACTGTTCAGTATTTGCAAATCAATCAACATGATACACCACATTAACAAAATGAAGGATAAGGTCATATGATCATCTCAATAGATAAGAAAAAGCATCTGACAAACTTTATCCAATGAGAAACACAGTGGTGAAATGTATCATCACTTATGATAAAACCTCTCAACAAAGTGTGTGTAGAGAATACACCTCAGCATAATAAAGGCCATATAAGACAAAATCCCAGCCAACATCATATATACACAATGGCAAAAAGCTGAAAGCTTTTCTTCTAAAATCAGGAAGACAAGGATGTCCTATCTCTTCACTTTTATTTAACATAGCACTGTTAATCCTAGCTACAGCAATCAGACAAAACACAAAAACAAAAGGTACCCAAATTGGTAAAAAAAAAAAAAAAAAAAAGAAGAAGAAGAAGAAGAAGTAGAACTATCACTATTTGTAAATGGCATGAAAGTATATACAGAAAGCCATAAAGACTCCACCAAAAAACTACTAGAATAAATGAATTCCATAAAGTTGCAGGATACAAAATCAATATACAGAGATCTGTACTTCTATACACTAATAATGAATTATCAGAAAGAGAAATTAAGAAAACAATCTCAGTTACAATTGAATCGGGAAGAATAAAATAAACTAGGAATAAATTTAACCAAGGAGGTTAAATTTGTACTCTGAAAACTACAAGACACTGAGGAAAGAAACTGAAGAGGACTCAAATAAATGGAAAGATATATATTCCATGCTCACGGATTGGAAGAATAGTGTTAAAACGTCCACACTATCCAAAGCAATCTACAGACTAAACGCTATTTCTATCAAAAATATCAATGCTATCGGGGCACCTGGGTGGCTCAGTGGGTTAAAGCCTCTGCCTTCCGCTCAGGTCATGATCCCAGGGTCCTGGGATCAAGCCCCGCATCAAGCTTTCTGCTCAGCAGGGAGCCTGCTTCCTCCTCTCTCTCTCTGCCTGCTTCTCTGCCTACTTGTGATCTCTGTCTGTCAAATAAATAAATAAAATCTTTAAAAATATATATATCAATGGTATCTTTCACAGAACTGGAATAAATAACCCTAAAATTTATACAGAGCCACAAAAAGACCCCAATAGCTAATCCGATTCTGAGAAAGAACAAAGCTGGAGATATCATGCTCCCTGATTTCAAAGCTATAGTGTATGTGTGTATGTGTAGATAGATTGATAGACATATATATATTATACTACAAAGCTATAGTAACCAAAACAGTATAGTACTTGCACAAAGACAGAAACATACATCAATGAAACACAACAGAGCCCAAAAATAAAGCCACATTTCCATGGTCAATTAATCTATGGCAAAGGAGGCAAGAACATGCAATGAGGAAAGGACAGACTCTTCAATCAAGAGTGCTGGGAAAATTGGATGACCTTCTTAAACCATATACAGAAATAAACTCAAAATGAATTAAAGACTTAAACATAAGACCTGAAACAATAAAACTCCTTAAAGAAAACATAGTCAGTATACTCCCAGACATTGGTCTTTGAAATATCTTTTCGGGCGGCGCCTGGGGGGCACAGTTGGTTCAGTGTCCAACTCTTGGTTTCAGCTCAGGTCATGCATGATCTCAGGGTTGTGAGATCAAGCCCCGCATTGGGCTCTGTGCTCAACGCAATCTGCTTCAGATGCTCTCTCTAACCCTCCCCACTGCACTCTCTCTCTCTCTCTAAAATAAATAAATAAATCTTCTAAAAAAGGAAAGGAAATTTTTTTTGCATCCTACTCTTCAGGCAAGGACAACAAAAGTAAAAACTAACAAATGGGACTACATCAAACTGAAAAGCTTTTTGCACAGTGAAGCAAACCATTAACAAAACAAAAAGGCAACTAACTGAATGGGAGAAGACATTTGTAAGTGATAGGTACCATAAGGGATTAATATCCAAAATATATCAAGAACTCCTCTACAACTCGAAAACAACAAAAAAATCCAATTAAAAAATGGGCCCAGGATCTGAATAGACATTTTTTCAAAGACATCCAGATGGCCAATAGACATATGAAAAGACGCTCAACATCACTCATCATCAGGGAAATGCAAATCAAAACCACAGTATCACCTCACACCTGTCAGAATGGCTATTATCCAAAAGGGGAAAAAAAAAAAAAAAAAAAGCTTGGTGAGGATGTGAAGGAAAGGGAGCCCTCGTGCTCTGCTGGTGGGAATGTAAATTAGTACAGCCACTATGGAAAACAGGATGGAGGTTGCTCAAAATATTAAAAATAGGGGCGCCTGGGTGGCTCAGTGGGTTAAAGCCTCTGCCTTCGGCTCAGATCATGATCTCAGGGTCCTGGGATAGAGCCCCGCATCCGGCTCTCTGCTCAGCAGGAAGCCTGCTTCCCCCTCTTTCCCTGCCTGCCTCTCTGCCTACTTGTGATCTCTCTCTGTGTTAGATAAATAAAAAAAAAATCTTTAAAAAAAATTAAAAATAGAATTACCATACAGTCCAGCAATTCTACATCTGGGTATTTATCCCAAAGAAAATGAAAACACCAATTTGAACAGACATACACATCCCTATGTTCACAGCAGTATTATTTACAACATCCAAGATACATAAGCAATGTAACCGGCCATCCACAGATGAGTGGGTAAAGCTGTGGCACAGACACACAGTGGAATACTGGCCATCAAAAAGAATGAGATCTTGCCATTCATGACGACATGAGAGTGAAATGAGTCAGACAGAAAAGGACAGATACTGTAGGATTTCACTTCTAAGTGGAATCTAAAAAGCAAAACAAGAACACAAAACAGAAACAGGCTCAAAAAGTACAGAGAACAAGCTGGTGGTTGCCAGAGAGGAGGGGGGAAGGCGATGAGTGAAACAGGTAAAGGAGATTAAGAAGTAAAACTTCCACTTATAAAATGAGTAAGTCACAGGAACATAAAGTACAGTAAAGAGAATCTAGTCACTAATATTCTCATAACCTCATATGGTGACTAGACTCTCTGGCAGTGATCATTTCATAATGTACACAGATGTCAAATCACTATTCTGTACACTCAACACTAATATGCCAGCTACAATTTTTTTAAAAAAGAATATAAATTTCCTGCCAACCCCTACTTTAGT